AGCCTAATTACAGTCATAAACTAGTGGACTTACATCTCATTAGATTTAATATAATGGTCTTCAAAAGAGATTAGTTTCGACCTATAGATGATCTGTATTTCTTAGTCAGGCAACGAAACAACCTTTTTCGTTGAATGATATTACATCTTCATTTTAATTATGATTTACAATTTCTCCTTAAGTAAATACTCAAACTCTTGTTTGGCTCGAATAAAAAACAAACATAATTCCTTTTAAATAACAAATACAGCACGGTTGTGTCACACGTTACTATTATTATTCATTTAACCGCTACTGCTAAATTAAAACGCTTGCTTGGGTGGGGTTAACCCCGAAAACTGTTTAATTACAAGTTCAACATCCTAGCCTTTTATTTACATTTACAGTTCAATTTTAAGATATGTTATTCATTACATTGAGACGTGCTACTCGTCAATTTCAATTAAACAATGATTCCTTTGTCAGTACTCGGACCAGTGTACTCTCAAAGACAGTGGATAGCTTCCTTAATCAATCTACGTTAACTCGATGGCAGTATACCCGGAAACTTATTTGTCATCAGTCGTAAATCTTCCGTGTAGAGTCAATTGTCTAAGTCTACAAACATAAAAGGTAGTGAACAGTAAACCTTGGCTTGAATACAGCCAACTATTCATTGGACACCCACACTTTTTATAATACGAGTATACTCGTATATTTAACTAGCTTTCGCATGCAGTATGAAGGTAGATTAATCTACCTTCTCAAACCCTCAAGGAACATTACTTTTCCGCGATTAAAGATATTATGTCTTATCTTCTGTAGCTCTTAATATGTACATGTGTGTGCAAAATTTCATGACGGTTGGTTGAGTAGTTTAGACATGAAAGCGTATCAAACAAACTCACTTTTATAATGTTAGTAAAGATATAATTGTAGTTATTGTAAATATGCCTTTCAATTTATGTTTTTTATTGTTTTAAAATAAGGCTTATAGTACAGTTCAAGTAATAGGTACAAATTGGTACAAGTAGTGTATCAATTTTTTTACACTTTTGGAGATTTTATATTGACCTGTAAGTTTATTTTTGTGTCTGTTTGCATTTATTTATTAGATTTTTATTTTTACAAAGTATCATACTTAGTACGTATTAAGTACATAAACTTGAAATTCTAAAGGTGGAAAAAAAGGAGATAAAATTGGTTTGCTTAATAATGACTTAATAAGCTTTTATGTGACATTGAGCACAAATATCATCAAATTTCAGGGTTTTTATTGACACGCTTGGATATGATCAGCTTGTATTTAAATTGATTATTTTAATGAGATTATGAAATTTAAATGATTTAGTTAGTGAACTCGGACTTGCCGGGCATAGCTAATTTAATCCCCAGTACATCTAAAAAAGCAATATTCCTTTTCCACCATCAAGGCATCGCCGTCAGTTTTCTCCAATTATTCTCCAGTGAACAGTTGACAATAATAGGTAATTATGTAAGTGGGGCTAAAACTATATTTGACAAAATGTAAACTTTTAAATATGCCTCTGCCTTCCCCTTCGAGGATATAGGTATCAGGATATGTATGAGATTTAAAAGTACATAAATTAAACTGCATAAGCATCGTAATTCTAAATTTAGATAACATCTTTTATATCGCCAAATTCGCTAAGATCAATGTATCATATAAACATAACATTCTATAAACGCCATCAGTATTGTGATACCGTCGTGAACAATTCACTCATACTCTATCGGTCACGATCGCACGAAATCGCATACATTAGGCTATGTACAAGCGATCATGTGGCTTGCATTTAATGCAGTGTAATCAATGCAAGTGTGTCGAATGCTAATAGTGCTTTTGAAAGCCGTTTATTGATGGATTAGTCAATATAAAGCCATCGATACACTGACAGTATCTACAGCAACAATTCAAGTTTGACGAAATCATTCAGAGCTTTTCTCGGTGTCTACCTAGTCAGTTAGCCATTTAGTTAACGAAAGTATAAATTAGGAAAGTGTGATCATTAGTATAAATATCTCGAGCAAACACGTTTCCATAAGTTGTGTTTGTGAAAACTTTAAATTGATGTTTTTTGTAACATCATACACGCAGTCATATCATCATACCTACATGTCATAACAGAAAAAACCTTAATTGTATTTAATTTATCAAAAAAATTAAATCTGTAGTCTTCATTTCTTTCGAAAACAGTTACCGATTTACAAAATAGTATTAAAAATAGTGTTTTCTTTTAAAAATTTATTGTTTACTGTACAGAAGATTACCATATAATTTATTAAGAAAAATATAGGTGTTTTAATTACTAAACTTCATTTAAACTTCACAAAAAGGAATAAATAATCGTAATGTTGACCAGTTGAAATTACTTACGACATAACAGATGGATCTAAACAAATGAATATAGCAGGAACTTGGTATGTTTCTATAGGATAAAAAAAAGCTCTGAGCAACTCTCCAGTTTGTACTCAGCCTTATTAGTAGGACTAATGAATGTGCACTAAGCAATGATTAGTATACAGAGTGTTTGGTCAACTTGCACTAATCGTGTGATTGCGTATGCCGACAAAATTAACATACGATGTTTAACTAGAGGTTTACTCAAAAGAGTTTAACATAAAATTCATACTTCAAATGTAGTATTTTATTTTATTTTAGATAACCTTAAATGTGTTTGAAAATTGCATTTTTACAACGAAAATTTCATTAATATGAGTAGAACTCTCATATTCCAGATATTTAAATAGCTAAACTTTCATTAGTGAGCTAAACCAGATATTTTACTAAGCTCAACTTTAATTAAGTAAGTGATGGGGCCCTTAAATAATTGGCTGCCGTGGCGTGGCATGCAACTATGCGCTTCTCTTTTTGAAAAACAAAAACTTTTTGCCTAACGGATAACCAATCTATGGAACAAATTATCACTTGCGGTGTTTGCGGAACAATACAACCTTCAAAACCGCAAGACAAGAGTTTACTCCCACCTCAAAACCGGCAACACATTTGTCACTTGCACATGACCATCTGCGGCAGTAGTCGTTTGCTTCAATCAGGTGACCCTTCTGTACCCCTTACATAACAATTGGAAAAAATGAGTCTTATCACAAAAAGAAGATGAATGTGTGAAACTTGCGTTAGTAGAAATATATACAACTATAACTAAAAATGATCTTTTAACATACATTTCTTTAATTTGTAAATTGGCGTGTTAGCCAGTTCGACAGAGCATCTGAAAATGCTCTAGTCTCAGGGAATTTGAAAAGGAATGTAGTTGTCACGTACATAAATTATATACACGACAAATATTTGAAAATATTACTTTCATTATCAATCTTATTATTTGTTTGTTTGTGTTTTAAACTAAACTATTCATTAATATTAATTAGATTATTTCTGTTAAAAGCTAAGGAAATGTTGATAGCTCTTACACGAAATTGTGATTCATTTCCGATATGAACTATGCGTGTAACAGAAGAATTAACTGTAATCTACAAAATTCCGTCAATTTTCAAATAATACGATACACAATTATCGGTAATTTTCTTTGTAATTTATGCAAAGAAAATTGGTGATAATTGTCTCAAACTAAACAAATACATACGTTATTACTGGAAAGCAAATCAGAAGTAAATAACCTCTAAATATTCGAGTAGTATAGTTAATTACAATTTGTCGATAAAATGACGAGTCTGTTGGTCTAGTTAGTGACCCTAACTGCTATGCTGATGGTCATGGGTTCGATTTTCATATTTTCCACCCAGTACTTATCACTATGTGATGAGCAGAGTAAGGTAGAGTGTTTGTCTTCATCTGAGTATGTACATAAGTACCTTATTCCGTCTGTCTTCCAAGAGATCGTTTTTTCCAAGAGATTTATAAAATAATAAAAGCTTCAGTATTTAACTTTAATACTAAAGATGGACAGGTTATTTCAACGTCTCGTACGTAGGCGACGGCCTCCCGCCCGCGCTGCGCTTGCGCCGCCATTGTGGTAGATTCAACTATCGGTTGATATGATGAGTAATCTTAGATACTGGACTGCTGTAGCCTATATAAGGAGGGTTTTACAAGCTATTGTTATTAGCGACGTTGTGTTTTGTTTTCATTCAAAGCATAATGTTAACTGGCATTTTATATGATGGCTTTGCATTAACCTTATTCTAAAGTAGTCTCGTCACCTCTTGTCATTATTTTTGTATTGATTGTGATCGTAGAAAGAGATGTAAATACTTACATTAAAAACTTAATATGAACAACAGGCAAATACTATACATGTATTACTTATACTAGGTATATTTGCATAAGAACGTTAGATATTCACGCTAATTTTATCAGTGTTATAATGCCTGCAACCATATTTTTTCCATAATGAAACACATACATAATAACTATTCAAAGCTCTTCATGATTCTATATGCATTTCGTAACTATATTAAGAAAATTAGTGAAAAAAAATGATTACACAAAGTAACGTGATCATATGTATGGAGTCCATATGCATTACATTACTTACCATTTGCGTTACTTGTGCGAGTTTGTTCCATTTTATAATATTCTGCTATTGTTATCTTACTCGTACTCTCTCTCTCTCTTTAAGCGATAGATCGATTTTATATCAAACATACTTATTGTTAATTATTCAATGGCAAAATATAATTACCTAAACGTTCGTCAAATTTTTCATTTTATTACATTCCCAAAATGAAAAAAATGTACACAAATAAATAAAATTGAAGTGTCTGTTTGTAATGTTAAAATAATAGGTTTTTTTCATGCATAGGGATATAAGGTATATAAGGAATAATTTAAGCTATTTTTCCTCTCCGATAAACCCTTTAAAATTTTGCTCGTGCCGAGAATCGAACTCACTAAGAAAGTGTGTTCTCTCTTCTCTTTCACTATTGCACTTCGCATATTCCCTATGCTACTCACAAAAATCAGAAAATAGTAAGTACAGATGTATATCTTTGAAGCTTATGTGTTTTTTTTCCACCAGGCTCGGTTCCAAGAGAAACAGTTGCAAGAGCGTGAAATGAAGATAGCCTCACTCTACGAAGCTCAGCAGGCGCGCGCGCTGGACCGCGTGCGACATTCTCCCAGCAACATTGGGACTCGTGCCTCACCTCCACAGCAGACGCCTGTTGCACATCAACCTGGAAAGGTAACATCAATATACGTCAAGGTTTAGCGCTAACTTTATAAATGAGATCAAAATTTGTGATTTTAACACCTTCACGGTGTTGCAAGATTTATAATTTACCACGTATAATAGGCGAGTTAGCACGGGATCAATATCAACTTCATTAATTTGGGAATTGCTGTTTACTCGAATGTCTTTTTTGTTCCTCGTTGTTTTATCAATAACAAAGTTTGAAGTTATATCAATTACACAATTAATGGTTTGATTTGCTTTCACCAAGGTGCGCCAAATGTTCGAAGAGCGCCGCACAAAAGCCGGCATCGACAAGAGCTACCCTTTGCAGCCTATCCACAACACAGACAAAGCGACAGCTCGGAAGCCGTTGCCCAACGGCTACAGTAAGGTCACTACCGGTCCCAAGCTCAGCGTGGAGCGTAAGACCAGCAAGATGCACATCAGCACCACCACGCACAGTGTCAAAAGACAGCAGCATGTAAGTTATGACAATAATTAAAGTGAAAAATTCTTTAGGCGCGTTGGGCAATTTTGATCAACAAACAAAAGAATGTATTTTATAGTTTATCAAAAACACATTTTTTGAAATCGAAAAAAACTATCGAACTCGCGACACTGTTAGCGTTACCAACACCTCTGTTGAAGTGAAAACTTCTTTAGGCGCGTTGGGCTTTTTTTGAGATATGGGCATTATGTGTACGCTTCAAAAACTTCTGCACCGATTTAGCTCACATTTTGACACGATATACAACCCGCTTCAAAGATTATTTCATCTACTTTTGCAACTACAATGTGCCATAGCGAAAAGTGGCAGGGTACATATATATATGCTTTTTAAATAAGCCAGTTTAACACCATTTTAAATACGAACTCTTCAATATTAGCTTCCTCTAAAACTATATCTAGCCATATCCATTTTTATAGTGTTAGAATCAAGTCGTAATTTGCTAACTGATCTTGTGGAAATCTTTAAGTGATAGAATGAACAAAGATACACCCAGTATGCTCGTGACTCGTAAAGTCATAAATTTGAGAGCAACATTAAGAGTAAGACAACATCGCCAAACTTGTCAGCTTCTTATATATTTTATAGATGGTAAACATTAATGAATGCGTTAATAATCGTATCAGTTCTGGGGTTCATTACCATTCACAATTACCTAGTATCTGCACAGATTTAGCTCATAATATAATAATATTGTTACAGAAAATGCAGAACATAGTCAACGGCTCTGGCGATCTCAATCATAATCACGAACCGGACATGAACACTGTCAAACAAAAGGTGCGACATTTATGTTTTAGCAGCGTTTCAGTGCTTCGTTGATCCCTTCGCATAAATTTAAAAAAAATTGGTTTACATAAGAAATGTTCTTCATCAACTACATATTCGACATCTAGGTGCTTTGATACCGAGGTCTCTGAAACTATTTCTGGGATCGTATCGAATGAGTGAAAAAATCGTAGCTATAGTAGATTGGTCAGGGGGCGGAGCTTGTTCGATGCGTCACTATTTTCTTAAAGCGAATAGACGTGTGATCAAGCATCCATCCATCCGCGATTACTGGTTTCGAGATAGATTACACTTACATTTCTTGATTCAACCCAATAATTAAAACTAAAGTACCTGGAATGAAGCAACTAATTCTTCTGAGTAAAGTGGAGGAATCAACTATTTTTTGTTTTAGCTGCCCCAAAGCAACGGTGAGTTGATCCATCAAAACAATATAGATGAGACAGACAGGGCTGAGAATAACTATCTGCTAGAAAACGAAACATTTCCAGAGGCCTTAGCACCAACGCCCACACCAAGATCTCCTGATCCACCTGTTGAGGCAAAGAAACCACCTCTCAAAAGGTATTGTCCTCATTTTCTGAGTTACGAAATACTTTAAGGATTGTAGAGAGTGTGTGTTTAAAAGGCACATATCATCTAGTGGGTGTAAAAACTAGGAAGATACCACATAATCATTTTTCTATTATTATTATTAATCACACATTAAAATTAATATTTAATCAATACCCCCAACACCATAAAAAAAAGATTGTTTTATCAAATGTGGGAAACAAAACTGATTGTTTAATCCACATAAATGGGTTTTTTATAGACTGATAATTTTTGTTCACAGAGAGCCACCTAAAAGGATTAGTCCAGCGAAGACAAAACCTGTGCCTATAGTAGCCCCCACTACACCGAGGAGAAACACAAATGAAAATATTGTAAGTATGCTCTCAACTTAAAATGCACAACCATGTGATAATAGACTTTGTGAACACCTACCACAAATTCTACGTGTTCAGGTACCACATGACGTGTTTGCATGATCAATATAAAAACAGGAATTTAAGTAGTATTATGGTCGTCTCGCTTTTGTAGTAAAGTAGAGTAAGTAGAGTAAGTAGGTAGAGTAAAGTAGAGTAAGTAGTAGAGTAAGTAGTAAAGTAAAAAAAGAACGTAAAATAAAAATAGTGAATTTCATACCATCTTTAGAAAAAAAATCATTTTAAAATTATGAAGCGGTTTAAAAGAATTTTTGTTTCTTTATCTGTAAGCCAATAATGGTTGAAAACTGTTTAAATATGTCATTGCTTCGACGAAAATAAATTACTCAGATTATAAATGATTGTATTACTAAATTATGTTCACATGCAACTATTAAATGTGGTAAGAAGCAAGTTCTGATCTGGTTTCATGTTTACTAGAGCGGTTTCGCACTACGTCCGATCAGAATCCGTGAAAATACGGTCCGAAGTAGTCGTATAACTATTTCTATGGGAGCTGACGCATTAGATCCGACTTCCGTCGTCCGATTTCTTTCCGTTATCCGTGAATGTCCATTCCGGACAAGATTATTAACGGGCCAAAGTAGCCATACTATTAATTGTATGAACGCACCCAGAATTCTTTACTTCTTCTGTGTCGTTCGTACAATCGCATTGCCAGAAGTTGCCAGAGATTTATAAATCCGTATTTTCACGGGTTTGAGATCGGATTCAGATCCGGATCGGACGTCGGTAGTGCGAAACAGCTCTTATTGTTTTGATATTTATGTGGGCGATATAATAAAAGCCTCTAAATAAATAAAGATGTAAAATGTGGGCGATATAAAACCCGTGTGCATTTGTGATATTGTGTTATAATTTTGCAACAGTTTGTAAAGTGTTTCGGGTATAAGTCCTTAATTTCTACTTGAGATATGTTTCTTTTATTATTCATTTAAATCTTTTTATCAGGGTCTTACCACGCTAACTTCACAAATACGATACTAAGCATGAGATCAATGATAGCTGTGCTGCTGCTGTGATGCTCACTATATGAGTAAATCATTTGAACTATGTTAAAATAATTTAATACTGTGTTATTTTACACAGTCCATTTACTACGTGGAAGTCTTCGGAAAGAGAAACTCGAAACCTTGATACATCCCGACTGTTAGCTACTTATGAAATAGGAACTGAAAGAAAGTCAACTTAACAAAATGTGGTCACTTGATTATAGTGTAAAATGTATAAGTACACCATTTGCTTTTAAGTATAACCATAAACTATATTTACCAATTGACCTTTTTGCTGTAAAAAAATTGCAACAATAAAGTTTGAGCACCTTCATTCAGAAATGACATTCGAAATTTGAATCAGTCATAAATTGTTTACACTGTCAACGTCAAAATGATTTATTAATAATACTTTTATTTAATTAAATTATAAAAAAATTATAGTATGCGCTGAAAACTAACTAGTGCATTTGCAATAATAGTGTAATGTATGTGTGCAGGCCTCGGATGTCAATAAGGGCCGCGGGGCCATGCAGACCAAAGCACAACCGGTGAGTGTACACTTGTACTTGCACAACAAACAACATAATCTGTGGTCTAAACATATCATTTATTCATCACATCAAACATCAACAGCCTTTAATAGTCCACTGCTTAACGTAGGCCTCTCCTTAGATACCGTATAAAAACACGATTTTTACACCATTTAGTACGATTTGCTATAAAGTAAAAATTTGTACTAAAGAATAGAATTATATGTGCGTTTAACGTACCTACTGCAAGGTCGGATCCAAAAAGATAGGTCATGGGGTCATGACACTTCCCTTGAGCTTGTCAAGTTCTTACAATTTCAAGTAGGTAGTTAATTAATCACATGTGAGTAGGTTTGTCGTGAAGAGATACACAAACATGACCCACCCTGTATTAAGAGCTGGATCTGACTAAGCATTCCAGTCCGGAAACTTGACAAAGTAATTAAATAATACGAACTTTGAAAATGTTTGATACTAATTGAGTAATATTTTCAAACTTTCAATCTTTTCCATTTTTTTTCATTCAATTAGCATTTAGGTGCAAGAATTTTCTATGTCAAACTACTAAACACTTTTGAGAATGTTTTTTTATTGTTTTTCCGTAGTAGTTTTATTTAATATTTGTTTTTATTGTTTTGCAGGTACCTAGTAAAAAGCTTTCAGTGGTACGTTTTATTTCATTTCATTTTTGGTTTTTAATTTTACTAAACGGAATGGTGAATAACTATCCCATAACTTTGTACATTTAATTTCGCTTTTGATGACTATAAAAAATCTATATAAACCAATGCTAACCAAATATAAACAATGTATAGAGATCGAAGAGTTGTTGATAAAATTATTGCTGCACAAGATCTGAATGTGTAAACAACATTATTTAGATGTTGCGACTCCCACATACAAATAAACAGAAACATACTACAGCGCCATCTAACGAAGGCACACCGAACTACGAAGTAACTTCAGAATGAGAATTGCTAATCCTGTATCACGATATGAAGAATTCTCTCGCTAGTTAGCATATATACAACTTCCCAACCATGACATGACACCTGCTCCTCCGCTTACATTACACGTGTATGATGTACAGGTAAATTAGCTTGGAGAAATTTTTGCGTTTGTAGTAGTGCACCTAGTAGGGCACCTGCGGACAGCGTAAACTGGTTCATTCTGGTTTTGTGCGTGTTTCCACTTTCCACTATCAAGTGACGATTTTTTGCTTTAGATTGAAATATCTCGGAAACGGTGCGTCCTAGGCCAAAAATAACAAAAATTTTGACTCCCCCCCCCCCCCCGTAAACCCCCCGGAGTTTTAAAAACCTAGATGAAAGGAAAAAAAAAAAAAAAAAATTAAATATCGGTCTCTCTTTGAAGTTTCACTTCTATCGTGTGTGAATCGCACACACACCTTTTTTTTTTATAAAGTCAAAACCTTTTTTTTTTAAAAACCTTGTTTTTATTGAAAACAAAAATCAGAGTGTTGCTAGGGATAAGTATAAAATTAAATAGTAATGTTAGGATATCGAAACATTTTTGTATAGGCCAGAACGATATAGTGGAAACGCGCTCTAAGATCTGAGTATGTAGTGTAGCTCTGATATGTAGTGGTGTGTATATTACACACCACTACATATGCAAAAATTTCACGAGACTAATTTCACTGTACCTAATGTAAATGATATTTAGACAGTCTTATGGTGAATAATTTTGTACCTAATGTAACCACAAATATCCGATCTACCTAGTTTCGTTGCTGGAACTACTCCTCTATCAACAACAAATGCAGAAAACCTGTCATGATTTAGTTTTTGATAACAGCACGCATGTCTTAACACATAGGTATAGTCCGCGGTACTTTACTCAGAAAATTATTTAACTTTAATCAACGGTAAATCTTAGATGCATCTGTTTCACTTCATATCTAATTTATCATCTGCCTGTTCGATCATTGATTATGTAACGTTAGTATGTAGTAGGTCAAAAGCTCCTTTCCAAGGAGAGGCCTATGTCCAGCAGTACTACTAAAGGCTGTTAACGATGATGATTTGCGATTCACCGAAGATCATCAGTATGATTTCAAAACCAGCTTATTACAGTATAGAGATCGTTCGTATCCTTAGAGTGCGAGCAGCAACGGCGCTTTGGATTCGGCGCGCTCCTCCAAGCCGGGCGTGGGGGGGGGCAGCGCGGGGGGCGCCGACGTGGGCCCCGCCTGCGCCGTGTGCGGGCGACACTTCGCGCCCGACCGCCTCGACAAGCATCAGGAGATCTGCAGGAAGTCACACGCTAAGAAGAGGAAACCTTTTGACGCACTCAAACATCGTTTAGCTGTGAGTATCAACGTGTTTTTTTTTTATCTAATTTGGAATTGTCTTCAACTAATAATTCACGCAGCAGATATTAGTAGTTTTTTGCCAATACTCTTTTGTAATTACTCTTAATTACATTTACACATTACTCAATGAGTCTCCGGTCTAAGAAAAACATTTTTTTTTTGAAATCTCTCTGAAGCATCTTTATTTATTTTTATCTGCAAAAAGCTAATTTTACACTTGCCCTATCGCCTAGCTTTTTTGTATACCTGGGTCAAAATCACCAAGGTGGAAAATTCCGAGTTCTGTTTTATGATGAATATACTTAACAGCTATTACATTGATAATAAGCTTAGATGTTCACTAAACTTGTGTTTCAACAATGTGTACGTTGGCAGAGCATAGAATAAAGTACTACTCCTGTAATTTTATTTTTCAATTGAGCTGTCACTGAAAACAATCATTCCGGGAACGTTTTTGTAAGACTTATAATAAAATTAAAATATAACTTAACTATTTCTCTAGACCCTGTATATTAGCGGCAGTAAGCAGTTATTAATAAGAAATTAAAAAACTCCAAAGAAATTGCAAATAAAAGCGTTTAGAAACAAAATATTGCTACAAATGGAGCTATTGGACTATTTCCTAATATAAAATTAACGAAATATGCCATAATTGTTGACTTATATTAAAATAAATAGGCTTACGATATTAGAAGTTCGCCTTATTTTAATATTGCTAGTGACTTTTTTAATTATCTAAATTAATAATGTGTTATCTGTGACTGTGTAGTAATGTTCCCGAAAATGATTAGGTGTTCACGGAATGATGCACGTGTTCTTTAAATGAAGCATATCGTCATTTAGAGAGTTCACTATACGTCCAAGAAGCTTTTGTTATCTTTTTGAATCCATTTATTAATGTTCGTAGCCAAAGATGTATATTAGTTCGGCTGCGGTATTGTGATGTTTGACCATCAGAGTAGATTTGAAGGGTGTTAATATCTTTTTTTTCTAATATTGTTTGTAGGAGTGGATTCATGTGAGCCCATATCGCATGGGCTTGATGATCCAAATTTACGGTAGCAAACGATTTAGATTGAAAACCATTCTCAAAGTTTCGTATATAATATACGCCCGTATGAATAGAATGAATGTGTAACTCTCCGAAAAGTCTATCTGTATCATTACCTCTTCTTCAGCTAAATTTTCTTTTAGCTCTGTTTTCAGTTCAGTTCAGTTTGTTGTATCTGTAGATGCCATACATATGTTTTTTCATAACTGGAATATCTTCAATAAAAGCCATTTTTAATTCATACAACATAAACAAGATTCTGTCTCTTAATTTTGGAACTACTACACAAAATGGTTTCGCTCTTAATAATGTCGCATAAGACAAATTTATTCCAGTTTCCCTAACGAATTTTGACGTGAGTTCTTTAACTGAGAATAGAAGGAGACGCTTTTTTGTTAATATAGTTTTTCTTTACAAAATCTCTCTTGGCTGGACACATCCGACTGACATCATCTATTTGGAAGAAATCTTTAACTTTTAGTCAAACTTCAGGCTTCCAAAGAGCCTTACAAATTTTGGTATCAGACTTCAGAAGCGATGTAATGGTTCTCTCTTTTGGCAAAAAACTCTTAGCCATATGAAGTAATTCCATATTTTCATATTTCCTCACCATATTACCGCTAACACATTTCTGGCAGATTTCCCTCTCTATGGAATATTCTTGCGCATTTCAGGAGGTATGTTGACATTTTTATCATTACATCAACTTTACTGTTAGAAGTACTTTTTACCTGAACTTTGTCCTCTTTTTCTTTTCTTCTTAGTCTTTTCATTAAAGTTTCATATTTACGTTTAATTTCAGCAATTGTTTTCTCCTGTTGTTTTATTTTACGGTACGTTTAGGCTCCATCCTTACGCATACTTTTTCATCCCACTTTTCTTCTTAGTGAAGGTGTGGCAGCTAAATCATCACCGCAATGTGGTGGAGAATTGTTTGTTATACTTGATAAAGCCTTGTTCTTCTCCCTGTGTTTTTTGATGCATTTTTCAAGATTCCTTTGCTTTCGCTTTTCTCTGTGAGTCATCTGAGTAATATTTTTAACTTTTTTTTCAGCTTTTTTGTTTATGGTAAGCTCTATCCTAGCCTTTTTAATTTCTCTCTCTTCCTCTGTCATCTTATCTAAAAATATGCTTTTTCTGGCATTAGCTTTTTGTCGTTGGCGCAAGTAAGCTGAACTATTTTTGTGAAGGTGCTTTTTCGAACGTTTTTTAATTATTGAAGCATCATAAGACTCCATATTGCTAAAAAAATGAAACATTTATTAAAAACTACGTTAGCACAACATTCACTAAATTATTTAACCAATAGTTGTAACAGATGTCAGTTTGATAATGAAAAAGTCATTTCGAGAACGTCATCATCATTTCAAGAATACTCCGTCAAGTCCGGGCACGTTCTCGAAATGACCGTTCTCGAAATGACTTTTATAAATAAACGCGCCTTTATTTAAAAGGCCGCCACCTTTGACATCATGTTTGGTTTAATTAATGTAAAAAACTTGGGATTACTATTCCTTATAGACACTATTATACGTATTTTTCATTCATTTTGAGTTAATAAACGCATTCCCGGTATGATGACCTATTGATGTACGCTCTGTAAATAATGAATCGAAAGGCACTTACCACTTATTTTTAATTATTTTGGCGAGAAACTTTCTTGACAGCCACTTTGTTTACATCTTTCATTACACTGCACCATAAACATCTACAGACCACGTTCAGAAACACAATATTTTCGGGCAATCAAAACTGTGTTCACTCAAATGACGCTTACATTGTCGGACATAATATTTTGACTTAATTATCCTTAGTTTCTTTTCTCTCTTTAATAATGCATATAATTACTTAATAGTTGATAAAATTTAAGGCTAATAAGTAAGAAAAACCATAAAATTTATTTTATTTTATGTATATTTCCGGTGTTAGTTTCTAAAGATTGCTACTTAGGACGCGTTCTCGAAATGATTTTTTGTAGTTATTTCTTCAAATAATAATGAATATGTTTTACTTTTGAAGTATAATATATGAGGTACGGTTAATATGAGCCCTTTACAGTATTTACAAATAATAATTTGTTTAAAAAAAAACGCACTGAGGCAGTTATTTTCAAGTAAAGCTGATTTTCCACCTTGGTGATTTTGACCCACCTACACAATACTAAGTAAATTGTAGTCGTTTAAGTATTTTTTTAAATTTCTCCGACTGGCACTACCTTTGGTTTGTTAATAATAAATAAGATGCAACGCCACATACCTAAAACTTGCCACTTTAAGCCTAATAAAGCCCTCATCAGGACCAAAAGCTCAAAACACTCATGTGCATAACCAGAAATTTGGTCCTAGACCCTTTAAATACAGAATCACAACACAATTCGGTAAAAACCAAAAAAAATGTTTAATCTCTGCAATCAAGTAATAATTTAACCAAATACAAGATATTATACACTGTTTTTAAGTTACATGCTTTGTATTATATGCTGCATTTACGATAGGGAGCCGACGCTCAAGGATATAAGGCAAGCTCTTCTCATTTTATACACACAGTTATAGTTCATATGCTTATTTACACAAGTCTCTAAGAGAAAATAGTCAATGTTTGTCAATCTTTTTAATCACAAAACTCTAAAGTGCGAGAGACCAAATAATATTATTGTGAAATCTAGAATACGGACAAATAATATATATTACACATAGAAATATCGAGACCAATACAAGTGCTCCGAGGAATTGTTCGGACTAATACCAGCCGCAAATTTCCGCCATCGTTCCACACGGCAAAATTTTCATCCTTATTACCTGGATAGTTGGCGCTCCACTACTGTGCGCTTTTCGAGATACTTTTTGCCCCGCACAACCAATCTGTGGAACGGGTTATCATCTGCGGTATTTCCGGACCGATACGACCTAAGAGCGTACTTCTTCCTAAAAGGCCGGCAACGCGTTTGTGACTCCTGAATTGCAGACGTTCATGGGCGGCGATGTTCACTTTCTATCAGGTGACCCGTCTGCTCGTCTGCCCCCTCTAACATAAAAAAAAATACGAGAAACAGATTCAATAGAACATAAACCATTTAGTTGAAACATATTAAATAAAAAGATTTGACGATGGATGTTCAAAAGTCCACGATGCCACGTGGAATAATATCACTATGAATATATGAACAGGGTACAGAAGCAGAACCATTTATCAACAAACTCCGCAAAGCTGGGAACACACCCTCGACGACCAAAGCGAAGCCTCTGAACAACACTTGGCGACAGAAGCACCAGGAGTTCATAACGGCCATCCGCGCTGCTAAACAGGTGCAAGCGCATCTCGACGCTGGCGGTGAGTACATGATTACGGTTCAATGGGATCATTCACATTTGTTTTTGATCTTCGTAAATGGATTATGAATGTTTAGAATAGCGATGATCCACATATATGTAGAAATGCAACGATATTTGGAAAGCGTAAAGGATACAGCAATATTTCTCTTAATTTCCTTTGGAAAAGTTACTTCTGTGGACCTTCTTAATAGGAGAGCTGTCGTAGAATCTGGTTTATATAAGCATTTGTTATATAGGCAGTAACTATGAGCTGTGTGCTTGTTTGATAAGTTAGCTGATCAAAATAAGCGAAGTATTGACCGACTTGAAGATATTTACTTCTATTTTATTTACCACTAGCTGAGACCCGCGGTGTTACCCGCGTTTGTTGTTATAACAGCGGGCAACGCCGCGGGGCGAAGCTTGTCTAAAAAAGTAAGTTAGTAAGTAAGTAATCCTAAGTTACGCCTTATGTCATCAGCTATCTGCCAGTGACAGTCCCGTCGAAATCGGTCCAGCTGTTGCAGAGATTACCCGGAACAAACAGACAGACAGACAAAAATTGTAAAAAATGTTATTTTGGCATATATACCGTGTAAACATAAATATGCATTTAGTAAAAAGCGGTTATTTTAATATTACAAACAGACACTCCAATTTTATTTATTTTTATAGATAACAATACCAATCCAATTTTATTTATTTGTATAGATAACAATACCAATTTCACTGTTTCGCAAATCCAGAATTAAGTTTAAACTATACCCATATTCCAGGTAAGCTGAGCGACCTCCCGCCACCACCTCCCTCCGAGAACCCCGACTACGTGTCGTGTCCACACTGCGGCCGTCGCTTCAACCAGGCGGCGGCCGAGCGTCACATCCCTAAGTGCGCCAACTTCCAGTTCAACAAGCCCAAGCCGGGCGCCAAGCGCCGGTAACCGCCCACACGCGCTGCTATGGCAACACTCGCAACCTTACATAACACTACACACGACAAATTAATAATAAGGTTAGTCGACCTAATACTGGTTATTCACTATCGACATGACGGTTACTTCCGTTCGAAATCGGCGTGATTTTTGGCTGTACTAATCATAGGAATATCAATTATTTTTTAAACAAAATCGGACTCTTAGGCTCTTAGTTTATAGGACATCGTACATCGAATATGTCGGCTCTTGAATCTACACAGTTACAGGAGATGTTGTGGAACAGAAACATTTTTATCCTGCAATTATTTGGTTGAGTTGTATCTGGATGTAATTAAAATGAAGCGTCCAGTTAACCAAAGCCAAGTTTACGTCGAGGAGTTCTTGCTTCGAATGTGTCTCGCCGTCTTCTTCTACATCATAGCCTGGTCAATAATCAAATACTGCATACGGCGCTTCCTTTGTCGCCCAATTGCACATAGGAGCGGCGCATAATAGATTAGTGTGATCGACATTGGAACACTTGGACTAATTTTAAAAATTGATTATTTTTACCTAAAAGTTAGAATTGGCTCTTCTACGTGTCCACTCACAAAAATGGCGATTGTGGGGATTTACACAGTTCGTAGAGGGGATTGTTTTGATTAGTCATTATTGTTTGATTACGAGATATGATTCAAAAAACATTGTCCTTGATACTTATATCTAAACTACGAATAATAATTGTACCTACCTCCCTATTGCTTGTATAATTACAGTAGGTGGCCAAATTATTAGGGACAGTATCGAAATTTTTGAATTTCCTAGTTTAATTGGATTTCTGTAACAAACGATTAGTTGTAGGTCTCTTATATATTTTTTCTTTGTATCTGTATTCTATAAGGATCACAAAAACTACAAAAAAAATTTACAAAACTGATTTATATTCTTCGTATGAGTATTATCAATATTGGTAAAAATAAATAATTTTTTTTTTTATATTTAGTGATGCCACCCTTTGCTGCAATAAGAGCTTCTATGCGTCGGGGCATGCTCTCAATACATTTTTTTGCATTTTCCTGGAGTTTGGAGTTGTGATACCATTCTCTGATGAGAGTTTCAATCAATTGTCGCTTAGTGGTAATCACTTCTTTTGCGATCGCCCGTTTGGTGAGTTCCCACATGTTTTCTATTCGATTCATGTCTGGTGAATTCCCTGGCAAAGGCAAAACAGAGACATTTTTTTCAGCCAAAAATGCAGTTACACTTCTGGCTTTGTGGCACGGTGCTGAGTCATGCATAAAAATGTATTCGTCATCATCAGGGAACCATTCATTGAACTGCGGCAATAATCGCGTTTCTAGTACTCTCTTGTATTGGTCTTGTTTCATAGTCCCTTCCACAATGTATAGGCGTCCCATGCCTTTGGCTAAGATGACAGACCACACCATGACACTAACCAGGTGTTTAACCTTCTCTACAAGGCAATCAGAGTGAAATTTCTCACCAGGACGTCGTCTTATAAAATAACTTTTGTCAACCAAAATTTGGAAGGTAGATTCGTCGGAAAACACACCTGTAATTGATATAATGAATAGTAGAATAAATAAATAAATTGTTATTGACCAATTGCATTATACAAAATAGTTGCACTTACTCGACTCCAGTCTGCAATAGTCATAGATCGATGTTGCCTAGCCCATTGGAGTCGTTTCTTTTTCATACTATCGGTTAGGCGTGGTTTTTTGGCAGGCCGCACTCCCATGAGATGCTTTTCGACCAACCGCCTCCGCATTGTCCTCTCTGAAATCTTTATGCCCTCTTCGTTTATCATAGTTGTTAAACGAGCAACGCCCTTTTTACGGTTTTCGAGGCAGATGTTCCTGATTTTTCAATCGGTACGAGCTGTTGTAATCCTTTTCCTGCCACATTTGCCAGCACGATTTGCTTCAAGAGGCTTTTTATTGTCAATTTTTATTTTTATTCGATTGACGACAGACTTTGAAACCCCAGCAATAGCTGCTATGTCTTCCTGAGAATGTGTGGAGTGCAGTAACAACGTTTGTATCTCTCTACATTTTCTTGGAGACGTGTCCAAAGTCCTACCCATCCTAAAAAGCTTATAATTTTGGGTTAACGTGTTGAACCATTAATAAAATGTAAACTCGTAGACAAAACGTAGCAAAACTATTCTTATACGGAGCATTACTTACCTTTTGATTAATTAAGACACAAAAGTCGGTTAAAACTAATGAAAAAATAATACCTAGACAATACAACAATAATACCGAAAACCGCGCTTTTTACGGGCAAAGAAGAAACGTCACACAATTAATAAAAAACGCACGTATTCTGTGTTGCCATTTGACAAAAACAATAATAATGATACCAGTAAATATATCAGATACAATAACCGCTTAAAAACAACATCATTTATTCAAAAAAATATAATAAACTATAAATTACATAAATACGAGGACTGTCCCTATTAATTTGGCCACCTATGGTACTTTCGTGATTTGTCAACATGTTATACCATAGAGACTTAAACGGGGTTTTCGACGTATGGATCCACTCATCGTACGCTACAAGGCGACTCCATTATACCTTTAATGTATGTGTAGGGTCAAGTCTCTATTTGCTTACACATGTTTAATTGGTACACATTTTATTCTCAGTCTCGATACATGTATAAAGGCGTTTCACTACAAAATTTTATATAGTTCCGTTGCAAAATAGTTGTTAAAAACTATATATAAACGCTTTTTTATACTTTTAAACACTACACGGATCACAGAACGGTTAAACGGAATTCTGTACGAATTTGGTCACATTTAATAGTAAACAAATTATGAAGACCCATTATGGACGCTTCAAAGGCAATTCTTACTAAATCACGTTTTTTTGCGTTGCTATATAACTCATTTTACGTAGTTTTGTCGCCCAGAATCAGTAAGGATTGCTTTTAGGCGTCGATTTTTTAAAATAAGATTCGATTTCTGCGTTATATATGGCTCATAATTCATTTATGCGACAATGGCTCATGTAAATTAAGTAAACTTCAATTTTGTTGTAAACGATGTCATCAAAACAACCTTAATATGTCAAAATGACTATTAAAATGATTCTCTCAGATACTGAACATAAAGAAACTGTTATAGTGACCAGTATTGATAGGAAAGGTTACGAATCCCTTTCAGAACATTACTTCTACTTACTAACTTGGTAAGGTTAACTTCAGAAGACTTAGTAATATATGACCAATGTTTTATTATAAAGACATGACCTATTAATATATAAATGTTAAGAAAGACTTATGCGGCTTAGGAATTCTGCTTTTTGTACTTACTGCCCTAATGTGAAAATTGTACTTAGTACATTGCCATAACATAAGTCAGGATATAAGATAGTAAACGAGTTATAGCTACAAGAGTTTAAGTCGATCTGTTTGTACAAACGAATTATGCTTTTTAAACTGTTATTAACAATGCAAGTGTTATTGGAATATATTAAAATGTACTTTATCATTTGGTATGTTCGCCTTTCATTTTATACCCTACACTAAAGTATGCGACTACTTATCGCCGTCAGCTACAATGGTTATGTATGCGGCCGTCAGCGGATTTAAAAAGCACTGAACTAATTACCTGTTGTTTACTACTTTTTATTACTATGTGAACATTGAGTTAAAACAACACTAGAAGCAAACCTCATTATCACACGTCGAAAAAAGTGTAACCACTTTTGAACTTTGACGACGTAGCTTTGATACCACTAAACATTTGAAAGTAAACATATTTATGTCTCATTTACACGCGAGACAAGAACAATACCATCGCTCGGATTAGACAAAGACAAAGACATAACTTTACGGTGGTGGGCCAGTGTTGACTACCGTATGAAATTTTACCCATAACAACCAAGAAACAATTTTTTTTAAAACAATTTTGTAATAAAATAAATTAATTTAAATATTTTAAATAATATATTTCGAATTGAATGGAATAGGTATAAATAATAAAATAACTGGAAATATTTGGTTAAAAGGGTTTATATTCAGTGTAAAATCAAACTCCGCTATGAAGCATCAGTTTTGTATACAATTGTCTTTTAGACTCTTTTTTATAAGTTCGTGTGGATATTTTACTTTCATGATACAATCTTATTTTTACCTATGTATAAATAATGGCATTTAATAATAAAAGTGAATAATCAACTTGTACTGATAATAAATAATCCCCAGGGTGTATTGCAAATTCTTTTAATATTTTAAAATACAAATAAAAAATATAGATATATATATATATATATATATATATATAATATATATATATATATATAATATATATATATATATATATATATATATATATAAATATTTTTCTTTTTTATATATTTTTTTCTACAATTATTATTATAATTGATAATTAATTAAGAAAAATGAATGAATGAATGAATTAATTCTTTTGTACAAAAGTCTCCAGCACTGCGAGCTTGGCAGAAGGTGAACGTTCAAAGGGTCCCTAAAAAAAGTGATCGGTCCAGCCCTAACAACTACCGTTCTTTCTATATTTTATTATTATTTTCAAAATGTTTAAAAACAGTCTAAAGCATATTATTTCATAAATTATAAATTCTCCCACTAATGTGGGAAAACCAAAATGTTTTTTTAATGGTAACACTGATTCTAAATTACAATTATCAATGTTTTATTTCAATTATAGCCTTATTTACGATATTATCAATACAAAAACCATAAACTTACACGTGATAAGTAATTCCGCATGATTTATTATGGTTTTGTGACCTTGAATCGCATTCTTTCACTACGCATTTACCCATTTTGGCGATTGTTACTGTCATGTGTCGCTATGTTCAACTCGGTTGACGCCACATTGAACACTGAATTGACGTTTGCTACGCATATGCCTGTGGACAGATGTGCACTAGCAACGACTTTAGGCGGTAATTACTCATCTATGTAAGTATTATATCAATGTATGTGAATGTGTAATTTCTTGGACCTGATTGGTCAGGGGGCGGGCTTGATCGATGCGTCAATATTCGCGGCTCATACCGCGTAAATTTAAAAGTAGCGTATGTCTTTCCTCAAGAATCAAAGTATCTTCATACCAAAATTTAATCAAAATCGGTTCAGCGGTTATTGTTTTTCAATAAAAACTTCCACTCCCCTTTCCAACTCCTTAAAGGGTGTTTTATGGAAAAACAAGCCTACGTCCTTTCCCGGGACTCGGACGATATATGTACCAAATTTCATCTAAATCAGTTCAGCGGTTTCAACGTGAAGACGTAACGGATAGACAGACAGAAAGAAAGACAGACAGACAGACAGACACTTTCCCATTTATAATGTTATAGTATGGATTTTATGTAGCGGCAGAAACGGCTCGCAATATCAATGCTGCGTTTGCGAGACTGCTAATGAACGCATCGTGTGTTTTTGGTTTAAAAGCTTTCGTAATGGAAACTTACTCGTTACTTGAAGGACGAACCACGTTGAAGAACTGGTATTAAATAAATGAAACTACAGAATAATGCTCGAATCAATTGATTATATTATTACTTTCTCTTTATATCTGTCAAAAAATAAAAAACGTTAAATGCAAATTAATGGGTCCTTACACAAGAAGCGTGACATTGTTTAGTATTTTAAGCTTATTGTTCCACCTCGATCTTGGGCACGTACGAGAGGATGACGGTGGACCGGGGAGGGACAAACACGTCGTCCACAGACTCCGAAGTATTTGTTTGGCTGAAAATGCAAAATTAAGGTAATAAATGATAGAGAATCGCCTGATCCATTTGTTATTGTTTTTAACATTTCGCTTTTTGCGTACATATTTTTTATACTTTTTATATCCACATTAAAGAAATTTAGTGCTAAAAGTAACTCATTGTACAAGCTCTGCTTAGTTTAAAGTTCACTCTTCAAGTGTGGAGATTATTTTATATAAAAAAAATAATGATGGCACTCACTTAGCGAGGAGTCTCGCTGCGTGCGACATGTGGTGCACCGTGAGCGTGGCGGGCAGTGACGTCACGTCCGTGAGGTTGGCTCGGCGGCTCTCGTCAGACGGGTTGTACACCGCGACGTAACCAGACTTGCCGGCCTTCCATCTGTAACACAAACATTCGATAAACGTCGAAAAAGCAAATATCAACCTACATTGTCATATTTAAAAAAAATAACATAAGTTTTAGTTGCATTAAGGTATTTACATACACAAATTTAAATCTTTACGATCGTTTGTTCTGTGTCTGGGTGTAATTTATCTAGGATATGTATCTGTTTAAAAATATATAGCCTCTCTAGTTTGGCAATAGACGGCCGTGTGTGAGATGTGTAACTTTATTATTATTATACAACAAAAAAGAAATGGGATAGCCCTACAACTTTTAGTATCATGAGTTAATGAGCCCCTATAGAGGGTGGGAGTGCGGTACCTGGCGCAGGCGAGCAGTGCGGCGGCGCTGCTGTCCCGCTCGGGCACGGCGCGCAGCTCGGCGTGTCCGTGCTGCAGCGCCGCGTCCGCGCGCAGCGGTATCAGGTGCGACAGCGACTCCGTCTGGTACATAACACATTCCTTTTGTTTATCGGACGGACCTTCGATCTAGTGGTTCAACATCCTGACGTGGGTTCGATTCCGACCCGGGACAAATAATTGTGTGATGAGCACGATCAGTTGTTTTGTGTCTAGGGTTTGTATTAAGAAATACATCAGTTGTTTCATCAGCAATCTGGTTACCATAGTATAGACTATACAGGTTATAAATATTATCGTTTTTCAATATGAGAAAGAGACTTGTACGAAGTAATGTGTTGAAATATTCGTCACTCACAATGGCGGTGTCGTTGTCTGCCCGCAGCTGGTGCGGCTCCAGCACCGGCGAGGCCGGCAGCAATATGGAGAACACCGCTAGCTCTTCGTCCCCGTCGAAACTAGAGTTCAGCTGTAAATATATAGGTGCTGAATAAAATGTCGAGTATTAATATTATGTGTATAAATATACTAACCTAAAAAAGAAATCCCAAATCAAAATCAATCTAAGTGGCGTGCAATGGGAGAGGCCTATGTTCAGCAGTGGACTGCGATAGGCTCATGATGATGATGATGATGATGATGATGAAAAATTAATTTGCAATAAATCAGATTACTTTCAAATGATACACGTGAGTATAATAAATGTTAACAAATAAAGATTAACATCACAGCCATGTGATTTTAAGATTTTTTACAGTATTGAATTTTTGTGCGATACCTACGGGGAATGACCTTAACGTTTGACCGCTGATTGCATAATATGTTAAATTTTTCATCAAATTTCAATGATTTTCGACTCTTCGAAAGTTATGGTCTGAATACACTATTTCAATATTCGTTACACCGTCCCTTACACCCTGTATATAAACATAGATCAAAGGCAAAGGACAAAAGATATTTCATAAAGTTTAATGGTTGTATTTCTTTAAAAAAACTAAAAGTATGTCTCTCAGAGACATACTATGAAAATGTAAGTGCATGGTGACATAGCTAAGCTGTGCCGTACCTGCAGGGCGGGCCACTTGCGCAGCCTCAAGTTCATGTCTGCGGCGAGTTTGGTGAGATCGCCGGCCACCGACAGCGGCGCCGTCATGGGCGGACGCAGCGACGACAGGTTGCGGATCATGAACAGCTCTTTCTGCTCGCCTTCTTCCGCTAACGTGAATACTGCTTCACCTGTGTGATATTACAACAAATTATTTTTCAAATTTAAAACTGACTTCAAAACCGTACTTACCACCTCTGACTCAGAAAGATTGTTGAAGCTGTTGTATCAACTATCGTATTGCTATTTTATTTTCTTTTTAAGCTCATTGAGAGTAAAGTGCAAATGACAAAATAACTATGTTGCAAATGTTTATAAACAGAAGATAACTGCTTAACCATTTAACTATTTAAAAAGACAGCAAATACATTTGAGTTTTTTTTTGGTTCATAAGTTCGGAGTAGAGACAATAAATATTTAAATTTATCTGTGAAATTTTATTTGAGAATATTTTATATCAAAAAATTAGATGCTACTAACAATACCACAACTTAAGAAATTATACATATCTTTACGATAGACAAGTTTTGAGTTGCTATGCGTTTCCCAAAGCATTGCTCTAATATAGTTTTACGGCTGTTTCTTCACGTTGCGAATAGGATTAAATAGCTAAACCCACCTTGTTTGGTCCCACTTCAGTTTATTTAAACTCATTTTGAGTGAAATATGATATCGTAGAATTTAAGGTTGAATACTTTCAACATATTTACTTTTTGTGGATCCTCTTGTGTCATTGATCCATCGAGCGGGAGATAAAAAATTCAAACGTGGCATACTTTAGTGAAGTGAAGAAAAGAAAAGTGGGTGTGTGCAATTCACACACGGCCAAAGTGAAACTACCGAAAAATTTAGTTTCTTTATCGTGACGCATTTTCTTTTTATCGGGTTTCGAATCACATCGATTCTAAAGTAGTTTCACTTCAACAAAATAGTACATAACTAACCGGGCGTCTCAGTAACCGAGTCAACTACCCCAGCCCATCGAGTCAACAGCACGTCCAGCAAGGGCAGGTCCATAGTGTGTTTGTGCTGCCAGAAGTTGTAGTTGTAGTGGATGAGGCCAGGCGTCATGCCTTTGCCAGTCGCAATGTGTTCCTCTGGCAGAGTCGAGTTCACGAGCAGTAAGCGAGCCTTGTTTAACCTGGAAACGGCAAGCAGTATATACTTGTGATCTGGGTGCATATATTTATCTTCGTTCCCTATAGGACAAGCGTAAGAAGTGCTTGAAAACATGTCATTGAGACATAATAATATTTTAATAGTTATATTTTAACACAAATGCCTGTTAAATGTTGTTAAAACCACAAAAATCAGTAAATTCCTACCTAACTCCAGCAGCTCCGGCCTTCATCCAACTTCTAATAACTTTATCGAACTCTTGCACGACACGTTCATTGGTAAAGTTCAGGTCAGGTTGATTCACTCCATACTGGTGAAGGTAATACGCATTGCGTTCTGTGTTGAACGTCCAGGGATGATCGTGTAATGTGGATTTCTGAATAATTAACAAACCATGAACACAATTATTTTAAGAAATGCTAAGAAAAAAGGTGCCAAAAATTACATAAATCTCTAAAAGAAATTGTTATCAAAGGAAGAACTTAATGGTGATTTTGCCCAACAGTGGAACAGTCTAAGATAGAAAATATATAGTCATTTTTTTTTCATTTCTGAGATACTCTTCTGAGGGACTTTATCAATCAAGTTAGGATATATCCTTACCCAAGTGTCTGTGGGTAGTTTTGGTTGGGTCTGGTTTTCATCGAAATCAGCCTTGCCTGCATGCCATACGAAGTAGTCTGTGTAATTACTGTCTTTCTGCACGCTTCGTCTAAACCAGACATGGTCAATGCCAACGTAGTTAGGAATTAAGTCTGCGATTACTCTGCAAAGAAAACATCCAAGATTTTTTACTTCACTAAGAAGACACATACGCAGTACATGGCCCACGGTTAAGACGATATCGAACATGGGGTCTGGAACCAACTTTATGCCCAATGCTAATCGAATATATGCTTGGTAAAAAAATAAATGAACACAGGAAAAATAATTTTCATTAATAAAACTTTACGAAGAAACAGAAGCGATCATCATGAAATTAGAAACAACACCTCTGCTCCCCTCCCCCTGATTCTCAAAGAGAGGCAACATATTTGTGACGGTGGTCACTTACTATCAGGTGACCCGTCTGTTCGTTGGCCCCCTAAGCCATAAAAAAATTATGCATACAGGGGCGTTGTCTAAATTGCAAGACCAAATTTACAATATGTGACCGAACACATGTGAAGCATATTGTTATATTCTCAGTAGGGATGGCATAATATCACAATCACCTGTGATAAATCATATAATTTGAAAATCATATAATCACACACGTAATCTTCGATAAAAAGAATTTTGATTGATTCTGATAGCATTTATCTTTGTCCATGACCAAATCACAATCGCAGGTAAAATCGCAGCTACTAAAGCCAATCATTTTTCGCATGATTATGTTTGAAAAGTAGCAATAATTTCCATGTCTAATTGTCAGCAAGTCATAGAACAGTCGAAGATTGTTAAGAATTCGTGCATTACTAATTAAATACATATGCATTTGCACTCACTTGATGCCGTACTCCTTGGCTTTGGCAGCGAATTTCTTGAAGCTTTCCATAACAGTGGGTTTTTCGTACTCATAGGTTGGTACATCCACGAATATACCCTGCACTAAGAAGCTCTGCATCTTTGGCAGTTCAACCTCTATATCGTCGTAAGTAGCATCACCCATTTCTAATAGTGGACCTGCCTCAAACCTGCAAATGAAAGATTGGGATAAAAAAAATGTAGCTGATAGAACTATTGATATTTGTTCAAAGAGGAAACACCAAAAATATAGAAAGGTTTTTCTTGTGATTTCTATATGTATATAGGAGTGACGCTACTTTAGCTTAACACGGTGTGCTTATATTGACATTACAACCAGCATTCTCTTGTTAAGTTTAGTCACAGAAAATGGAGCTTACATAGCAGTACTGAAAAAGGACTACCCATAAGAATTATAAAATCCAAAAGGAAAATTTCTAACAAAAGTTTGTTTAAGGTTAATCGTTGTCACTCTGACCTTATAAAATAATTCGTCAACAACAATTCGACAGTGGAGGACTATCTAAATCTGAATCAAGGTGATCTGATTTCTGATACGCACCAGGTCCTCGGGGGTTGTAGGGGGCATTTGGGGGCCTTGATGATAATGGTGATGGCTCCAGCCAGCATACACAGCCACATGGCCCAAAACAGAATGAACATGAACCAACGGAGGTTCACCCAGAACGGATCGTCCGCGTACTTCATCAGTTCTTCCTTCGAGAGACCCGAGAATTGCTGAAAATTTAAGACGATTTAGAAAAAAATACTTAGGACACGTTTTTTGCGTTACTTTTTTTAAATACCTAATAATGTGTGATAGGTAGCGTCTTAATTACGTAAATTTGAGAATTAGAGAATAAAAACTGATAAAATAAGTCATTTGATTTCATTGTTATGGCAACACACATTTTCCAAAAATGTGTCTAATCTCATCTCGTTTATACTATTGGACATACCGAATAAACAATAGGATAAACGAATGCCATGCGTAAATTTTAACTTCCAGGTTAACTTCATAAAAACCTATAAAACGAACTCCATCCAGAAGTAAATAAAAATATAGAAATACATTTTCACAATAGACAACTTAATTTCCCGTCTTATCTGTTTCTTTCGATAAACTCTCAATTTTGGGCAATATTATATGTTTTGCTAACGCCTACTGAATTCATCTAGAAGAATGAAATTGTTTCCTTATTTATAGACACATTAATTGATGAGCTATTGAGAAACCGTAATTACAATTGATTGAATAAAATAGAGCGTAATGCGGGTCCATTACCTACGCTCTATTTATTCAATCAAAAATACGGCAAATAGAAAAAAATGCAACAAACAATGCGTAGGGACAACGTATCTACAATTAACACTTAAGATGTATTTATTCCACGTATACGTGATGTATTTTATTAGAACGATTTTTATATGTGTTAAATATGAAAAAAGAACTTCGGAGCAAGCTATGTGGAAATTTAATCCTCTAATAGGGTGAAAAATGGCCTGCAGAGAGTATACTACAAACCACATGTTTGCGGGTATAATGGTCTTTTTTACAGCCGCAAACAAAGCTGCCTGGTAAAGCTGATTATAGGTAGCCAATGTTGTCCAGTTGATATCCCCGTCTTAGTAACGTCCTTAATCATAATGCGGACATATGGGTGGTACGCGATACATATGCAGTCTTAAGCTTATTTACTTTCTACTTTTATCCCGTTCAACATAGATTATATTTCCAAGAATGATTAATGTTAGGCAGGTGACTGGCGCAAAAAAATCAGCCAATCAACTGCCAATGATGAAAGAAGTTGAAAACACCTTTAAATATCGGTATAATGTCGATTTCTACAAAAAGGGGTTACGGAAAAAAGAAGAAATGCCTATTTTCTATCTTATGTTTCATAAGCATGTAAAGATGAATGTGAAAGTACCAATTATGCACTGTGGTATTCATATAATGCGATTTATAATACTTTATTATGGATGTTTGGTACTTTATAATTAAGTATCAAAAACTAGAAGATTGATTACCACATCACTTGGTATCGAGTCTTCGTTAGCTATTGGTAAGGCGCTCTTGTAGAAAATTCTATTATGATAAAATATGTAAGTACTTCCACTTCTCCACAAACGCTGGAACATTTCTGACGCTTAATATGATTCCACAGAAAACGTATTGTACTAAATAAACGTGATTGAGATCAAATCAAAATGACATAAATGTGCACCTAGATTACTTTAATTTGGTTTTGGAATAATTTGAATTCGTTGAGTTTTTTAGACAATCATTGGTGAAAAGGCGAAAACTATAAAAGGGAAATCTGAAATATTATTTAACTTCAAACACGTCTTAATAAAAGATTATAACCGTGAATGAGAAAGTTATCTACGACTTTAATCGTCGCTTCTATGTCATACGTTAAGTTGTACCCTGTTCTCACGGTATTAAACTGATAGTATTGTGGAGATTGTAATGCTAGAAGAAATACAAATATATATACAATGTGTCTGGGTTCGGACTGTACAAACTTTAGGGGGTGATAGTTTGCTCTATTTTATCACTAAAATCATTCTACAGGTGGGGTCTAAACCCAACGGCCTCTGAATGGCAGCCATTTTTGTATTTTGGTTGACTTTTTCGTAGCGTTCATACTAAAAGTTATGTAACTTTGGAGTTTAATGTCCGATTATCGTAAAACAAAAACTTCCCATAACGGAAAAGTATTAGCAATCAGATAAATAACTCAAAATTTTTTAATAATTGCTGTATCATATTAAAATGAATGCTAAAATATCAACTTTACGTCAAAATTAACATTGTTTTTTAGTATTTCAAGGCTATTACAAAAAATACCCCTGTGAACTATCTCTTAATATGCACGTGTCTCAGAGATGGTAAGCTGACCTAAATAATGATACCAAAAAGTTTGTACAGTCCGAACCCAGACACATTGTATATTTCAAAACAACAAACAAACATTTAACCATAAATCAAACTTACTTTTATTACTCAACCTTATGATACTAAATTTAATAAACATTTATTAATGTCAATTATTTTAAATTATTTTCTCGTGCATTTGTTCTTTGTTATAATTTCCACGTTTGTGTGATAATTAAATATTCTGCGGTCAACAATGTGGTCATAACTATTATTTTTATTCTACATGTTAACCAATTCTCTCTAACAAATATAACCTCGCGATTTACGCACTATTTAAGTCAATCTGGAAACTACTCGTAAGACTATTTAGTTTCCTATAGGGAGAGATAACCTGACTAATTACACCTAGGGCGCGCGCCCTAGGCCTGTGTAAGCAGGTGACTCCAATTCTAATAAAAAAAAAACCTGGCAAAACTATTAAATCTTGAAGTCTGGCTTACCCTTTTATTAGCATCAAGTTCAATCTTGGCGTCGCCATTTCGGTGGTCTTCCACCACGTACTTAGCGTCCGCCATGTCCACTCTAGTGACGATCTTGGCTTCTTCTTCCTTGGGCAGAAGCTTCTCTTCAGCGCCGTCCGGAGAAATCTTCTCCTTGGACTTGGCGAGGTTGTTCTTCGAGGTACGGAATTCTGTAGGCAAAAAGAAAAATTATGAAATTGTATACACATATTTAAATCACACGATTAAAAATGTAAGACGTGAACCTCTGGTGGAAAGTATTTGGTTTAGCTAAATGGGTTAAAAAGCGTGACCCACTATTTAGTAGATAATTATTTATTTAAAATAATGTCTAATCGTATTAAATGATCTACTTTATAGCCTGTGAAACACTGACACTTGTATTGACACAGAAATAAAAACACTGTCACATTATTTTCTCTACGATATATTAATAAAAAAAGATTGAATATTCGGAAAAAAATCCTATTATAAGTAATTAAGAACAAATCACGTTGTTGTTATTTTTAAATAAATAATATTTTGTTCCTATGACAGGTATCACCAGCATTTACGTTACGTTATCTTCATCCGGCTTGTAGTATTTTCACATCACGTTAACTAGAGGAAATAACCTAGACTTTAACACGTAACAAGTACGACTAACCGTAGTAAAGGCACCGTTACCGCATACACTCCCGGTGGAACTGGCCTCCGTACAGTACTAACGATCCGGCTCGAGATGCGTATATACTCCGTATAGCGGTTACAACGAATCTGAACCCTTGAATAAAAAGCGCTATTCTTAGCCTACACCGTCCTTGTCACGCTACAACATCGCGTATATTGTGTCTCATTTTATTACCAGTGAAATGCTTTGTAGCTAACTTTTGTGTCTTCAAGGTCCTTAGGGATTAAGTGGCAGTCCCTTCAAATTCCAGGAACAAGTTTCGCCACTAAATCGATAAAGGCCCGAAGCAACTGGCTACTTTTTCATCTAATTGAAAAAAAAACTTATTTGGTTGTAGGTTTTAAAGATGCGAATCGTATAATTAACAAAAAAACAACTGCTTTTAATCTTACAATGCATCACGAATATAAATGGTCAGATCTCATATAAAAGATGTAACTATAATACATAAAAATGTGGTCTTCCCAAAATAAAGGAAAGCAATCCAATGCCTGCGAGAACTCAGCGATTCCCGAAAGTCAGCGGGCAACAAAGTTTTTTTTTTGTAAGTGCTTGATTTGTTCTGAGACTTCTGAGAACACGATGCAATTTAAGGTGAGGTTGGTTTAAACCAAAGAAAAAATGTAATTGTGTGGTATTAAAAAAACCGCGAATTTAAACATTGCATGTCGCACCATGATCAATGTAGGGTTCCGTAGTTAAATATAACCTGTTTTAGTAGTAAGTAAGTAACATCTTCAAGCAAGATTTTTTCTAACGAGTTTGTACTCTGTCCAAATTTTTTCAAGTAGATACATTTAATAAGTATGACGACTATTACTATAAACTAACAGAGTTAACTCAGCATTGATAGTTTTCTTTTCTTTAGATTTTCTAAGCCAGTAGTTTGCAAGGGAGGAGGACACTAGGGTCTTACAAAAGTTAGCATTTTAAGGTGTAATATTTCCTAAACGGATCACTGAATTGCATCTGTAAAGGAATCCTTGTTTGTTAAGGCTATAGGACCCTAAAATGGTCAAGAATTGCAATTCAAAAATATATTTACACTTAAGTCATTTTGTTTGTTTTTAGGATTAGAATTATGCCAATATCTAAATTTCAATTGAATCAATTCGAATTGACGTTGAACATAATTAAAGAATAATGTTCAGAATTCCATAGAAACAATCGAAACAACCATTAATGAATAAAACCTTTAAAAAAATTATAAAATTAAGTGAGTTGAGTATCTTTAAAATAATGTGTATTCATTTCCATGTGTGCTTTATATAAAAGTATCAGAACATGCTGCTTTTATACTTTAAGCATAACTCAGATACTCGTAGACTGCGAAATTATTTTTTTAAATCATATATTATAATTTCCTTTTGAGTGAAATATTGATGGAGAACATTATCATTTTAAAATCAATTTTTATATTTATAAACTTTTAAATTTATTCGAAAGGCGTGATAGATCAGTGTTTTCTATTTCGTAATCACGCTGACGATTTCTTGTAAAATCTCTTCGTTTTTTCTAAAGTCGAAAAAAATGTACTTAGTACACTTTCTTTTTTACAAATAGTCAATACGCCTTTAAATAAAAAAATATTGAGTACTGTTGATGTTGGGGTAGGAACAATAGGCCAATCGCAGATCTGTAAATTTAAAATTTGTGTTAAAAATAACGTTAATATACGTTGACATTAAGTAATGTGGTACTTTGCCACGAAATTGTATTTTTGCCAGTGAGTACTACAAAGGGAAAAATTCTAATTCTACACACAAGGAAAATAAATATGTGCCTACACGAATAAGAATAACGAGAATTTCATAGCCAACATTCCCTTTGTTGCATTCTCTCTACGTAAAGTGATGAGACACGTTTGTGAACACTACAAATTGTTTTGTCAGAGACCAGTTTTCTGTGAAGGAATTGATATAGGTTACTCGTACTTGTCGTTCTTTGTACGAGCCACCAACTCGATATAGACTTAATAATGTCTATCTAGTTTCTACATAGTAACAATTTCGATTTGCCTTCGTTTGTATGTGAGTTAACCTCCTTTCTAAGGAGAGGCCTATGTCCAGCAGTGGACTTTTATAGTCTGTTGATGATGTTGATGATGTATGTGAGTTCGAGTCGCGCTCTCTTCTCTTTCATAAAAAAGTTCCTATGAGGCGACAAAAATTAATTTTAAGAGCTTTTCTGCTTTGTCGTGAATTTTGAAATGGTATGGACGATTTGCGAAGAACTGATACTTAAAAAAGGGCAAATATTTTCTATATTCAATACAAGAGGTAAAAAAATTATAAAAGTGCTGGTCAAAAGAAATACAGTAATAGGTATATCTACTTACCCCTTGTCTAAAGCTGGGACATAAGACGATGTATCTGTACATGTATATTTTCAATATTTTTATTTAAGTGATCATATGACACAATGGCTTTAAACATAACTTTATTCCAAACGGCACAAGTTTACTAGCCTCAGTCTTCAGTGATACTAATCAGGCTATGAAAAGAATATTTCTTGTTTTCCGGCTAAAATAACTACCAAACAAATATCTTTTGGCTAATGAATGAATAATTACTCCTTAACGACAACTCATACAGATAACAGTTAACGAAAGAGACAGAAAATGTTACAATATTCGTCCAAAATGCGGGCGATAAAGTTTTTTAACCAACATGAGAGATTATCTAGGGCGGAGGCACCTCTGAGGAGGTGAGGAGAAGTAAGATTTACCCTACCTCTTTTAATCCATGTAGAGTAAACACAAGATTTTCTAATAGTTAAACGGATTGTTCGTATTATACTTTAAGGATCTAAGTTTCTTTATTACTTTCGTAATATTCGTATATTCCGTTCGGTCATAAAAAATAGTCATACTACCTATTTCTTATGACCACACGGTACTAAAAATAGCCTTACAACAATAAGACGCAAAGAAAACACTTCAATCAATCCTTATCCGTTGAAAAGGTTTGCCTAGCCCTACCCCATCTTTCGAATTACGTCATCGACCCACGCCTTCAACCCTGCCACACACATACGGACTCAATTACTACTGTAAAGACGAAATGTGGAAAAACATGGAAACATACACTTAATACAATGAGGAAGATAAACACTTACAGTGTACACAAAACTAAGACTAATCAACTTGATTAAATGGGGCATTAAAAAGAACAATAGTCGATTTTATAGTAATATTCTTGTTAAATGGAATACATCGAACTGTTAATTACAACTGTACGTGTCGGAAAGTACCGAACGTGACAGAACCAACATGCGTTAATGGAAACAGTCATGTGTCGTATTCAGTATTTTAGCGGGAAACGCCTAACAATACTTTTGTACGCATTATGTTTTGTCTTCCTATTATTCTTCGTATTTAGAATACTCATTTGGAACGGGTTGTTACATTATCAACGGCAATATGGTGATAATACAATAGTAATGATAAGTAACATAACTGATCCTCAGGAATTATTAAGAGCAACAATTTTAATGTAGGGTAAGTTTTTTTTTAATATCCAGCAAAAATTGCTTATGGTCAACGCGACGCAAGGAAATGAGTATTCCAGAGATAAAAACAGAGTTGGGCTTTAGATTATTCATATGTCTAGATGGACGATCAAAGCTGTAAAAGCAGAGGAAAAAATAGTCGAACTGTTGGCGTTCTAAATGCTTTTCATGCGTATAGTACAAGTTTTGCTTAATTTGTAGTGGTTAGTTTGGGTACATTTATTCCCTATTCTAAAGATTTTCAACAATAATTTATGCAAGTACTCTAGGAAAGCAGAATGACGTGACGAGAGTGTAAGACGCAGCGGTCACGCACACTAACATTGAAACCTCGGATAATTTCTTTGTTATTATGCAGCGCGATGATCTATCTAGACGCATAAATAATCTAAGAGTTGGGCATAAATTAATTTAAAGGAAAATTCAATGCTTCAATTGATTAAAAAATTAATAATTATATTTAAACCTTACCAGGTATTTCATTTGTCACGTGTACATTATGCTTGCAACCCCATAATAAGAAAGCTTGCATGTGTATATATATCTTAATATATATAAATCTCCTGTCACGATGTTTGTCCGCGATGGACTTCTAAACTACTTAACCGATTTTAAATTAAATTGGCACACCGTGAGCAGTCTGGTCCAACTTAAGAGATAGGATAGCTTAGATCTTTAATTATGGTCGCAATTTTATTTTATTGCAAATTATTGGTCTATAATTAATTGACAGTCACAATTATCTGTTAACTCCAAAAGATTCTAACAGATGTTGATACTTTTTGACTGGATTGAGTAAGTAATAAATAGATGGCACTGTTATGGTAAACCGACAAACGTGTCATATAAGCTACAATTCAATATCAAACGCGGGTAACACCGCGGGTCTAAGCTAGTATATATAAATGATACAGATAAACATACTTGATACATGTTTTTGTAAACAGGTGCATATTATACCTACATGGAAAGGAACACCTAAGTTAAAACAAAAAAATTACATACATATATTGGGGCTTAGCGGGAATCGAACATATAACCACTGACATTGAAGTTGCAAATACTACCGCCGCGCTAGTGGGATTATCCAGAATTTAATAACACTACGACTACAGTAGAGACAGCAAGATTTTGCGTTGCGTTTAAATCTAGTTTAAAGCAATGAAATCTATAGGAAAATTGTTCCAAAATCATTTATTATTTTGAGTTTATATACATATAACATTCATAGTAAAAAAATATTATTTTAAATAAAACATGTCAATTGAAACTAACAATTTATTTACAAAAATATATTGTTGACATAATTTAAAAAGGTAAAGTTTTGATGCCTGTGAATTATCTCAGTCAATAATCCAGTGACTAATCACCAAAGTAAACATATTTTATCACAAACATGGATTTTATTGTAAACGAGCTCGCACCCGCGAATTCGTTCGCGTGGAATTTAAAACAGCTGCCTTAGTGGTGTATTTACGTCACGCGACTGTAGTCCATCAGGCCTCAGGTTCGATTCCCGGCCTGGCAAAATTTTATAGTTTTTCTGAGAAAAATAGCCTAAGTTACTATTTTTATAGACAGCAACCTAGTAGTATATTATCAAAATCGGTCCAGCCGTTTTGAAGATTACACGGAAGAGACAGATAGGTATCGTGCAAATAACCATGTAAGCATGAAAAAAACCTATTGTTTTGACATCACAAAGAGACACTTCAATTTTATTTATTTGTATAGATAACCTCCTTTCTAAGGAGAGGCCTATGTCCAGCAGTGGATTATTAAAGGCTGTTGATGTAATGATGTGTGATGTATAGATACAGTACATAGTTAAAACCATTGTCTGTGCTTTACAATTTCAACGAAATGAGATCATTTATTTATGTACATTTACTTACATATTCATCACATATCAATAAAAATAAGTTATGTTTTTATTGGAATGTTGTTCATAGAATTTAGTGCAAATATATACAGTATGATCACAGTTTTCAAAAGAAAAACAATTAATATGCACTAATGATTTGATTAAAAAGGTATTTTCGAACACAATGTGTTAACATTTTCTACAATAACTGGTATCACTGAATCAGAGACCAGTGTTTTTTGTTTTTCAAATGTGTAAAACATTATTACATTATAATTAAGATATTAAATGCTTTCACACATGAAATTATTTGTAATTTGAATCTCTCTTTAATTATTTTTAAGTGAAATAAGTACTTTTTCCTTGTCTTGGAACTAATTTCAAGTGTTATTCTGATTCAAGTTCTCTAGGAACTGTTTAAAAAGCCTATTCCTTTCCCTCTGTATATTATTTGATTCCTGTACTATATTAATTAACCTATCAAGTTTTTCTTCAACAGTTCTCTGTCTATTTCTCATTTCTAAAGTAATCTTTCTAAAGTCTGTATATCTTCTCCTAGTGAACTTCCGCTTTGACTCTTCACTTTGGCTATTAGATGCTTCAACGTTTTCTGGCAACGCCGACTCATAATTTGATGGTTCCACAATTGAGAGTAAGGCCTTGGTTACATTCTCTGTTGCCCCATCCTGAATCCTCTGTTGTATCTCTGGCTGATATTCTCCATTCTCATTGTAGATTTGCTCAAATATATCATAATAAGGCCATTTGACAACAACCAATTCATTCCGATTTTTCTTTTTCAACAATCTCACATATGTTTGTTTTAAATTACGAAACTTTTTATCACAGCAGTCTGGACCTTTGCCAACAGCATTTGCTATATCTATCCAAACATTCTTTTTCTTCACTTTCGGACTTCGAAATTTGTCAACATTCTGAAGGTATAGGCTCAGTAGGGTTTTGATACTGTTGTGTTCCCAATGGTCTTCTACCTCTTCTCCCTGGTCTGTTTCCATAATTTCGCTTTGGTTTAATTGCATATAAACCTCCTCAGTTTCAGGGTATTCAACTTGTTCTGCTGAAAACAAAATCTGTTGTCATAGCTTCTTCAGTATACTTGAGCTGATGATGGTCACAGACATCAATTGAATTTAACACATTAATATGTAGTAAACATGCTCCTAATTTTATATGATTGTATATGTATTACAAAAACAAGTAATTCAAGCAAAGGAATCTCATAAGAAAAAGATGTCTACAACCAATTTTAACAAAAATAAATAAAAAGATGTCAATTTACCACTCATTTGAAGAACTTCTTCGAAACAAAGTAATTACCAACGTTAAAGAACCGTCGTTTTGATGCAAACAAGATTGTATCTTGCATCATCCAGCGCGAAACGGCAGCTGTGCAGCGAACAAGAACAACACAAAATGGCGCTGACTGCCGTGAGAATTAAGCGCTTTATAACCCGGCCGAATCCAGATGATGCTCTGTAGAGTTTATGTTACACATTTTCTAGGTAATTATTGCATAAAAATGTGTTTACCGAACACAATTTAACTTAGTTTACTTGAAATAATAAAATAATTAGTTCAAGTAATTTAGAAAGCTGTGTAAATAGACAAACTTAATAAAAAGCGTTTTTTTTTGCTATCGAACTTCTCAATTTTGTTGAATAATGTCACGCTTCTGACGTTTGCTTTTGACCTTACGCTAGTTGCCTTTCATTGATAACGTCATGGGGCAACATGGTTTGATAAGATAAATGTTATTCAGAGATGAACAGAGCTTATTTTGCATTTTTATGACGTTCGTTTCTTAAAAGAATTACGTCAGAATGAAAGGCTACGTTCCAAATACGTATTGTTAATGTGATTGGATGGTCTCATTAATGACAAGGCAATATTCAATTAACTTGAATTAGAAACTCGGTAGTGAAATCTTCATTAGAGAATGAATCGTAAGCAAAGAGAAAATTACCTGTATCCGTTTCTGGAATTGGCTTGTAAGAAGACACGTTTTCGTCTTCATTATCTTGACCTCCATTTATGGAGAGATGGTTTTTTCGTGGCTCCGACATGGTGATTTAGGGTCCCGCCCAACCGGTTTAACAAGTAGAAAGTTGTCCCTTTCCCTTCAATAAATTAATATACGTTTATCTCACTACTTTGAGTACATCTACCCATCCAGCTGACAGGAGAACGAATGCAAGAATGAGTTTAATAGAACGACACCACGCCCACATTTAAATCAATGTCTCTTATGCTGGGTCATTCAATTTTCCGAGCGCTCGAAGCGCTGTTTGAAAAAGTGTTATCTGTTTTGTTAATGTCTATTTAAAACTAAAATTTTCAGGCACTAAGCTAACAGAACACTTAGTTTGAATATAAAGCTAAATAATAGCTTATATGCAGAGGCGGATTAAATATTAAGAGCGCCTTAAGCAAGCATCTCATCGACGGCTCCGCATCTCTCTGTCGCCCATACTATAATATTAAAAACTACTAGTTGACGTTACTAAATGTGTGATACTCATAATTGTAGTTGGCATTTCTATTCCTTATATTTTTATTTTTTTGTGACGCCTTTCTGGTTTTTATGTTGACAGATGGCCTTACAGCACCTCCAGGCCTACACATATGCAGGACGAAGGTCATTCAGTTACTTCCGGTGCCTAAGCCGCCTGCAATACCATTCCTGAGTCTGGAGTACTGGGAGGGTCTAAGCCTCTTTAGAGCCCGCTCCGCTCCCTCCATATAACGTACAGCATAACTTGCTCGCAGAAGTAGGTGGCTGCAATCTTGGTATCAAGCTAGAGAATCCTCAATTCGAAAGCTGTCACGAGGCCATACCTATGCTCCACCTGCGCTGGGAATACTAGCAGCGCGTGGAGCGCCGTGAGACGCTCGAGGACGTCACTCTCTCGCGGTAGGCCTTCGTGACGAGTGGAAGGGCAAACTCGTTCAATTGAGTTATAGAGACTCGTTCAGAGACTCAGGGCCTCATGAGGCGTTTGAAGGCACGCCTTTTTAACCGACTTCAAAAAAAGGAGGAGGTTCTCAATTCGACTGTATTTTTTTTTTTTTTTTTTTTTTGTATATTTGTTACGCGATTACTCCGGCAATTATAAACCGATTTGAATAATTCTTTCTTTATTTGGTAGGTCATACGTCAGAGGTGGTCCCATTGTCACCAGGTCAGGATCTGATGATGGGATCCTGGGGAAATCGAGGGAAACCCTCAAATTTTGTAGGCATATACACTGTTTATCAGAAATTATCTTAATCTATGTAGATTTTTGCATCTAATGGTCACCATCTGATGTTGCTGAGCTGATGATAAAGCTGATGATGAATGGTTTAGGAGTATGGGATCTCTGTAACAAAATTATGTAATACCATCGAATTTGAATGTGTTTGAGTCTAATTAATAAGGACTCCGATCCTATGTGATATTCAGGGTCTGATGATGGAGACGGTAAATAGCCATGGGAACTCTGTAATAAAATAAAGCAATTCCGCCGTTTTTGTGCTCATTTGATTCGTCTCGACTAGGAGCTTCATGCTAGTCGATTTTTAACCAACATCAAAAAAGGAGGGTTTTTGATTCGACAGTATGTTTTCTTTTTAACCGACTTCCAAAACACAAAAGAGGAGGTTCTCAATTCGTCTGTATTTTTTTTTTTTATGTATGTTTGTTACGCGATTTCTTCGTCAATTGTGGACCGATTTTCAAAATTCTTTTTGTAATCGAAAGGGTATGCTCCCGAATTGGTCCCATTACCACCAATTCAGGATCTGATAATGGGATCCTAGAGAAATCAAGTGAAACCCTCACAATTATTGGGAATTTGACAGCCCGGACAACGTGTTTTAGCTACGAGTATTTCTTTAGCCAAACAAACCCTGGCAACTGTCAGAGACTGCGCGATGTGATGCGCAGAGAACTTGCAGTATTTATCTCACCACAGTAATTTTCGTTGTATTAAGAAGAAAAGGTTGAAATTTTGTATTCTATCTTGTTAAAATAATTCGGATAGACGTTTAGTTGCTATGGATGGCATCGCATTTCGTTTGTAAGTAATTTTATACTTAATTTATTAAAATAGTTCTAAAAAAAAACTCTTAAATTTTGGGTGGGTCAACTAGGTTAATTTCTAACATACTAGTATTAACCCTTCTAGTTGGAACTCCTTCTATAAAATATTGAGCATATTTGTTGAGTAGTCTCACTAAAGCTTCCATATCTTCACCTTCGAGATCAGTGTCAATTGAATCGGAAGTTATTTTGTTCGGTTGCAACTCACAAGAATTTGACTGTTTCTTAGAAAAGAATTTAAGCTGATCTTGATCAGTTTGGACGCCAATGTCATTTTCATATCCTACACTAAAAATGGTAAAATAAACCCTTTTTAAAAAAAAAGTTGAACCGACTTCAAAAAACACCGACAAAGAGCACTAAAAATTAAAAAATAATTACAAATCTAAGTAAAAAACTATAATAAGTACCCTCAATGTAACAGGTAACATTATAATACCAATAGTCCCTTCTAGTCTGTTTGAAGTCGGTGCCAAGCTCGATGTACAATAAGTAATACTGGTCTATGTCAGCTTTATATTAGCACAATGAAAAATTAAGAATTCAAAATAATTCGAATGAAACATCGAAGATTTTGTTAATTAATAAAGACCAACCAGATCAATTACGTGCGCAAACTTATCAACTACTTATTAAAGAATTCAAAATAATAATCTAATTGGAGATGTGCGTCCACTTTAGCTCGTTCATCATGTTTTGCGCAGCATGAAGACTGTTGCAGCTGCCGCGCTACATTCTACCATGCCTATCAAGCACCTATTTGGCTTGGCACCGACTTCAAACAGACTAGAAGGGACTATTGGTATTATAATGTTACCTGTTACATTGAGGGTACTTATTATAGTTTTTTACTTAGATTTGTAATTATTTTTTAATTTTTAGTGCTCTTTGTCGGTGTTTTTTGAAGTCGGTTCAACTTTTTTTTTAAAAAGGGTTTTTCAGCCACGAATTGGATCCGCGTGGAGATATTCCTCCCAAGCCCTCTCCTCCTTCAGCAAAACACGACATACAAATGATCCCGTTCTGCCATTCTGCCAATCGACGATATCCGGCTTGAGCACCTCCATGGTGTTGACACCATGGAGACTTCTCGTACTGGTTTTGAAACCAGTACGTGAAGTCTCTAGCCGGGAGGACCAACGAGTCTCATTCCCCCCTCAGCATACCATGGGTGAGTTCCACCACCACCACCCTCTGAGAAAGCGCGCCTTATTCTCGGCGGTCAGCTTCAATCTTCGTTGGTATCAGAAAAAGGAAATCAAAGAAGTAGTGGCAAGACAGAGGCAACAACTTTTTACACAGAAATAAAAGAGGATAAAAAGACAAAAACGTTTTAAAGTATTCATTCATTGCATTTCATTCATTCAAAACTGTCAATGTGTCATTACTGTCAGTCTGGTTCTGGTCTATACGTACTCTGGCTTGGCAGCATGAAAGAAAGAACTTATTTAAGGACGTAAAGAACATCTCAACAAAATGTATTTGAATCATTAAAACGTGTACTTAGTTACTAATATTATTTCTAATGTGTTCACCATTATTATTATTTATGTACAAGATATTTAGAAGAAATCTAATTTTCGAAAATGTTGTCTAAGCTTGACATAGTTTTGTTTATTGTTATATAAGTTGCAACTTAATAGGTTTGTATATTTGTTTTGTTATTTTTGCTATCAAAATGTGCACAATACCACCACCTCCCCCGCCACCATCATTGCCAGGCATCGATTCACCTGCTAAGACGCTCAAAAAGACTAATGACATTAATATTGACCCTGATATCCTTCTTTGGGCATCTGAACATCCTGAATTAAAGGATGCATGCGTTAAGAATGGCATGTGCTTATATAAACCACCCTTTAAATACAAGTATAAGTATTTTCAATCAAGAATGCAAATTGGTCCAACCTGTGGCCTAGTGGCTATGTCTATGTTGGTTAACGGAGAAGCAACACCAGATGAGTTATTAAGCATAGCTAAATTAGAAGGTTATACAAATAATGGTGAAATGTTTAGTTGCAAACAAATGGTCAAACTGGTTGAAAAAGTCCACAGCTTAACAGAAATAGGCAATATTAGATGTATGTTGCAACAAGGAGGCTTGTTTAGCTCTGAAATAATTGAAAGACTCTTAAATGGTGCTATACTACTAGTTCCGTATCCTTTTTTTTATATCATCCATAATAAGTCCATATCAATTTTCAATTCCATTAATGAACCAAGTGTTCTGTAGGAATAAAGTTCTGTATACATTACCTTCATTCAAAATGTGAAAAGAAAAACTCAAATAAGTAATTGTGATGATAAAGAGTTTATAATCATCATAATAAGATGTTTTTCTAAAGAGATTATTACAAAAATACTTAATTTAACTATCAATAGACAATAACCATCAAAAATTAAGCTTCATCATCATCAACAGCTTTTACTAGTTCACTGCCGGACATAGGTTTCTCCTTAGAAAGGAGGTTTTGGCCTACTATACCACACTGGCCAGACAAGTGGGTATAGGGTTTGTGTCAAGTTTTCCTTCTCTTTGCACTGCTGGTGTCCTGTGTTGTTTTGCGCCTTTAGTCAGCTCTTAACGGCACCCACTGGATGAATCGGGGTAGTGACATTTCGTATTCTTAATCCATCACTTCATGGACTCCAGCTTCGTGATACTTAAAGCCTTCTTATGGATCATAGATTATTTGTGTTTAATCAGACAATAAAATAGAGTATGTCAACATAGCTGAGAGTGTGATACCAAATAACTACACTTTGTTGTAAGGCATATTTTTAATTTTATTCACATGTTTAAGAGCATCTAGTATAAAGATGGCATCTTCCATTTTCACCAACTTTAATTAATAAAATAAAATAAAACAAGACCTTAACTTATAATTCAGTTATGATGCTGACTGTAACCACGCCCCATGTCTCCGGACTGGTCATACAGCTCACTGGACCTTAGTCTGTGGTGTAATTGTGGTAGAGGAGACTGCTAACTATGAAGATGATCCGAAGAATGTCTATGTACTGTGTAAACATGGAAAGTCAAGATATTTAGCAATATGGAATCTATTTGATCTTGCAAAAAGTAACAATAATTTATGGGAGTTTTCTCCAAAAAAAGGTGCTGATGGGCTAGTATATATCTTGCCAGAGGGAGGTATTGGTGGCGAGAATGGGTTGCGAGATCAATTTTTAATATTTGAGAATATTGAAGGAATGCGTTTTTAAATAAAAAATAAAAAAACCCATGATACACATCTTGGATTTGAAAGTTATAGTGTGTAGTATTCTACTAGTCAAGCCCTTACATTTGATACCCATATTGAGGGAGTTATGAAAAAAAATATAATCCGCCATTTTGTGGCGGCGGCCATCTTGGACCGTCAAACATAACTTAGAACACTTCCGACAAATTTCAAACAAAATGAAAATCGGTTCATCTATTCGGGAACTACGATGCCACAGACGCACACACCGTTTTTGCGTTTGGGTTAAAAACATATCATACACAATATCAAGCACACTGTTCCAGTCAGAAGAACACACAAGAAGTTTTGTCAGATGTAGAACCTCTTCTGTATGATCATACTTTTTTTTCTATCATTTCAGCTACAAACCAGAATTTGTCCTCTCTTGGAATAAGAGCTGGTTACAAGTGGCAAATTTATTCCTGCCAATATTTCTTTTCAACATATACCTTGCTAGATAGATTACACTTTGCCAGATATTATGCTACCAATTTTATTCTGATTAACTTAAGTCCAACCTATCTGCACATACCACAAATTTAATTATATTACATAAAACTTTAATTAAGGCAACCTGTCTATACAGGTATACATTTTGTAGTTAATTATACAAATTAGTAGATAAAATTATATTTTGACTATGACTGTTATAACTTATAAGGGTATAGTGGATATTACTGTCAGACTGTAAAATAGAAAATATATTTATTGAGCTATTTATGTATAATATATAGTTTTACCATGAATAATGTACTAGATCTATCTATATAAATAAGAAATCAAATATTTATGGACTGTTAAAAATAAAACTATGCATGTTTTAGATGTATTGTTAACTAAATGTGACAAATTAGCTACTTATGTATGTAATAGTGATTGTTACACACTCCGTCGGCAGTCACTTTTTCCAGACACTTGAAAACTCTTAAAAAAATATTGTAACTTATATTCTCAGTCTTGATTTTTATTATATATTATATTCTGGAAACTATTTTAACTTTTTAAAAGCAACTAGACCAATCTGAGGGCCAATCATTCCCCCAGACACACATAAACTATCGCTATGAATACATAATTTAGACATATTCGCTGACTGACGAACCTTAGGATCTTGGACTAATTTGTTCAAGAGTATTAAGCTATAGTTTTCGGATAGAATGTTTAAACAACTTGTGTACATTGAACGCTTTGGTGAATGACATTTGAAAATAGGTCACTATCCAGACAAAAGAGGTTGCTGTAATATCATAGTTCAAACACCCTTAGATACAATACTATAGCCTAATATTGTAATGAATGTTTCAATAAATGTTAATGTAAATAAAAGACATTTTATTTTAATGCAAAATGTTTTATTTGTACAATAGATACAAATTATACTTGCAAATTATGATAAAATAATAAATCTCATCACATTACTTTAAAATATCGTAATGAAATTATACCTTTAATGACTTACAAGTCAAAATAAACAAATATTAAATTCTGAAAAAACATTCATGTTATTGCACAGTCTATTTTGCATTTATTCAACAATGCATTGTATTGAATTAAACATTAAATGTTGATGAAACATAAATGTAAGACATTTTTGTACTAATTTATTCAACTTAAAATGAACTTTTCATAACACTAATATAAGATTGTTTGGCCATTAAACATGGGCATAAGATGTGTGATGATTCCTTTATAAATAATAGATACGTGTGCCACGCTTATAAACTCAATGGGAAAATAAATAAATTTAGTATCATCGTCAGAATAAAGAAAATTGCCAAGTAACGTCATAGCTATGCTGTAATGAGATCAACAAATTAGTTTGAAGAGTGAGCTACTGTATCTATACATAAAAATCGCCAGTTTTTTTGCTCTAATTTTAAGACTATTCCGCAATGATCACTTTGGCCCAAAACTTTGACTTTATAAACTGCCTTTAATTTATAATTAAACCTGTCCTGATCAAATGATTAAATGCCACTCAATTATAAGACCTGTAATCCAATTCGTGTTAAGAAAATAGTGGCGTATCGATCAAGCGCTGCACACTGACCCATCAGGTTCCAAGCTTTCGTATTAAACGACAATTTCTTGGAACCTGATTGATCAAGGGGCGGGTCTTTGTCGATGCGTCACTATCTTCTTCTTCTTTGTCTTGTCCTGTCCTGTCACGTGTGTCACATCTTGTGAAGAGTAGTATTTGGTTATTAGTTTTGCGTCGGCAAACCTGCATATGGAAGTTGGTAGTCTCAACTATTGGCGTGAACAGTTTTAAAAATGAAATATTTGTAACTGCCGCTATAAAAAAAAATGTGTACAATGATACATTAGAAACTTGATAAGTGGTTATTATGTTTGAAATTCCTGGTGTTTTATACTTTAATTAGCGTACAAGTTAATTTCATATTAAGGATTTGTTTGGCTATAATTATACAGACAGGCCCTGGCCACTAAAAAGAAACAAACACAATTAAGGGCCACAAACAAATGTATATCTTAACTTGCAATCACTATCTGGATAAGAAGTTTCTTTCCAATTTATAAGTTTTCCTTTTCTTCAAAGATTTCTTCTCTTTCATTCTCGTTGTCATCGCGTAGTTCGACATAGCTTCCTATCTGAGATCACCTGACTACGTCATGTGACTCGGCCATTTGTTATTAACGGTGCAAGTGCCGAAATTCTAAATACTTATAAATTTAACTCAATGATATCAGTCACAGATACTTTGGGTAATAATAATAAAATATCTCAAATAAACATTTTCATTACATCTGTGTGTGTTAAGAAAATTCTAAATGTCACAGAAAGAATACTTTTAAACATAATAATTTATAATAATAATTTGGTACAAAATAGGAATAAATTGATATATTTAGTACCATAAATCGAGGTGAATAGAATCATAATTTTAATTGGACAATATTTATTAATAAAATTTATTTATTAATAAATTTTATTTAAAGAAAAAAGAAATACTGTCATTATATTCTATTCACTCCATCTTACTAACAATGTGATACATGGTTGATTGATAATTATTTGATTAGACAATTCAAATTATAATAATTGGCCATAATAATGTGTATAAACAAAATTCTATTAATACAGTTCATTCAGTATAGTCTAATTATATTATTATTACATGAATATATTTTATTCTGGATATATTATATAAGACTGTCTACTGGTTATAAATGTTATGCTCGTACATTGCAACATTAAAATAAAGTCTGAGTACACTTGGATCACATTAGGTTATATAATGGCAGACACGTCGCTTCCTTCAAATTTATTTTAATAGTGCAACATATGAAAGATGTTTAAACACGACAATATCATCTTGATACTTGTCAAAATTTCAAGAAAAAATGCTTTCAATCAAACAACTTTAAAACTAGAGACCGGTTTCGAAAAATTAACTTTGAATGTCAAACTCTTTGTCAATTAGACATATATTGTTATACTGGCACTATTATTTGAACATCCGATCAGTCAACAGAACTATCAAATTTCACTGGATGATCTTATGTCAAATGCAAGTATCATATCGTCGTGTTTACAGGTAACTGATGGTCACTTTGTTATTCTCTTGTTCTGACATGTTCGAAGAACATTCCGTAAACCGCCGTAAGCTTGGCCCTCCTGATGGTTTGCGGGACGCGGGGCGGGTGATGCGCTCGGCTATACATGACACGATGTACTAACTCGATATCTTCAGATTTATTTGTTTGAGATTTAATCACCTATGCGGTATTTTGGATAAGTTTGAAAAGATTCAACAATGTATTTTTGACACTACACTTGTTACGGAGGTCAATACTACATCGAACATGTCAAAACTAGTTATTCAATACAATATGTTAGATTTAAAAATTGTAAACAGGCCTATCGCTATTATAACACGTCTTAACTAACAGCGTACATTTAAAAAATGTTTATTACTTGGAAAAAGCGTACACATAGAATAATACGCAAACTATTGTCGAATTCTTTTAGGGGACCTCCTGTCTCTACCGGGGAATGGTGCTTCCAAATATTTTGACTATCAAATTTATGGTTACCCTTTTTTGGTATTAGAGTATACTGTGCACAGTTTAGCCTCAGCCAGAAGCGAACGTGCACGTTCTGAACAAAATTATAAGTGACGAAATTATCTCTTTTCTGGCAACGAAGTTTTAATTCTACTTGTATCCCAATTTTTAGAAATATGTATACAAGTGCACTGTAGGTATATGAAGCCCATTGATAAAGTATGTGCATTTTTATCATAACCTGCACAAATTAGGTCTATAATAAGTCTTGTTAGAAAAAGTGATTATTGAAAAAATATTTTTTAGATATTAATATATTATGATCTAATTTAAGTTACAAGTATAATGGATATGTATGTTAACATGAAGTCCCTTTCATTCAAAATATTTGGAAGCAGTAAGTTGTTACAGGGCGTCCGTCTCGCTATTCAAAACGTCTAAATCTAAGATGGACAATCTTATCGAACTCTATGTAGAATATATAATTATATTTTTAATGGCATACAAAGTTAATTCCCTACAATTAACACCTCGATGAAATATTTAATACAAAGAATAACGAGACGTCAGCACTGATTAAATGTCCACTACATCGGTTTTAACAAAATCTGACATTGGATTTCAGACTCTAAACGCAACAAATGGAGTCTAAATTCAAATGTTAAATCTGTTAACAGTGTCCCACATACCTAACGCTCACACAGCCACATATCTGAAGTTCACACGTAGCTATATCTAAGTATTACACAGTATATGTAAATTTTTGAGAATATAATATATCCTATGATATCATGAGACAGTCGTTGGCTTGCAGGGTGTACTACGAACGCCCTCTAGTGTTTACTACTACGAAATTAAACTAGCCAAAATAGAAAATAACTTTCCAAACTGGCTCGGAATAATGTCGAATTTTCATATTCAGGACTAAAATATCAATAATGTTAACTTTTTTTTTCAAATCAACGAACTAGCAAACTAAATATAAACGAAAATTTATAAGGAAGATATTAGGTGTAATCTCTATGATATCTTTTAAATTTAAAAGATATTTAATTTTAGTGTAAAATCTACATTTCATTGAAAACATCTATGATGTACAAAATTATAAATGTATACACCGTACTACGGGCTGCACTTATATAAAAAATTACACAAAAATATGACTGTAACAACGCGTTTCCATTGCCTTACGATATTAAATAAAACTGCATTCACGAATCACAGATCAAAATAAAATCGCGCTCACCACCCGGACCGTACCCATACTGATATGTGCCTTCGATACTCGTCACTCGTTCAATATACTAATTATTGACACGACTAATTATTTGACACTCGATGAATATCTTACCGAATATTATACAAACGTTTCGCACACACTTCGGTAAAATTACACTGTACCGAGTGTATTCGACGAATATTTTCTACAGAACAAGCATTATTTCGGCAAAACTTTACATCCAAATCAGATTCGGCGAAGCCCCCGCACGATTTCAGCAAAACTATTTTCACTGACGCACTAACTTACATTACATACATATTGGAAATGTCACGAACCATTATTTCTCGATATATACTGAGTACACGATAACGACTACTTTATTGAATACAATAACTAATTAATGAATGACTATGACGATATAGTTAACGCGATTGAGCCTTTATTATGTAGCTTGAACGACACCGAACCATACAGCATGCGAATATATGGCGAGCTACTCTAGAGGAATATTACAACTTTATATATTAAATAAAAATTTCAAGGTACATAACGAAAGGCGTCTACGCTATAATCATGGCAGCTCGACAGCATAATAAATTAATATAACTTTTAAATAGGCTCGCCTTCGTGACGAGCCGTGTTAGAGCCTCATTTGTAACAAAAGTGTCGTGATCCCGAGCGATGGCGATGATAGCCGAACGGGACACGAGCGGTGACAAAGGACCTCGTAGCGACCGGAGCTCAGTTCGGGGCGCTTACGTCTCGGCGGGGGCGAGCGGCGCTCCGCACGTGGCGACGGGGAACGTTTTGACGTGCGTCTGCCACTGCGTCGATAGCTGGAAGAACTTCACGCCGTTCAGCTCTGTGCCGTCGATGTACACTGAACAAAAAAAGTTTAATAATTTAAAATTTCAAATATTGAACGAATGAGAATACCACACGTGGAAGGCAAATAATTGTATAAATCTAATGTCCATTGTGATATTTATTTCAAATTCATTATTAATGCAAATAAATGATAAAATTATCATTATCATCTCAGCCGAAAGACGTCCACTGCTAGACATACGAGTAGGCCTCTTCCAAGGCTCTCAACAACAACCGGTCGTGTGCTGCCCGGCGGTGTGTGCATCAAACGGCTTCCCGCAAAATAATAAATTATACATAAACCAATTTATTATGTTCCGGAAAGAGATCCAACATTCCAATTTATTCCACAATATACAATTAATTTCCACAAGGGATGTCGATACAGTCAGGTTATTGCAAGACTTTGCGGGTAACATTACGAAACTTCTGGAGCTCTATTATTTAATCTGGTATAGACACATTCCAGTTCTACAATGGAGCGAATAAAGAAGCGTAAGGATCAGTTTACACTATAAGGGAATATCATTAAAAATTAACATTACAGCGATAATTTAAACAAATTACATTTCATGTGGTGACGGATTAACAACTCCACTGAACACTCCTATTCACCACGGGATGAATAGGAGTGTTAAGTGGAGTTCTTACACTACTACTTACAATACAACGTGGAGACTAAGAGAACAAACTACACAGGACAACAGCATTCCAAAGAGAAGGAAAACTTGAAACAAACCCTTTTTTTTTTTTTTTTTTAACGTGTGGAAATCCCCTCGGACCGTCACCCCTCCGGGGTTTGCGGCGGGGTGGTGTGTCGGACTCGGACCGACTAAAACCACACGGTGTGCCACTCTGCGCCTGTAACAGGAGCGATCCGGGAACAGCTGTTGTTAAGACATCCGGACCCCTCCTAGCGCCAGCCCGCTCCTGGTGCGGGCTCCGTCTTAATGTTTTTCCTCTCTTTTTAGGCGACGTCCGGCACACGCGGACGCCGCCCCCTCGCGGCTGGCCAAACTAATGCGGGTGGAGGGGAAACCCACCCCGTCCACCCGCGGCCACACTCAGGGCGGCATGAGGCTGTGATAGGCGGGCCTCCGCCGCCCGGTTCGCCGGCGGCGGATCGGGTCCGAGTGGAGGTCGTCCTCCCGGGCCCTCTCCGCCGCCTCCTTCCGCGAGATTACTACCTCGCAGAAGGTTGCGACCGCGGTAAAACAACTGTCGCTACCGGCCATGGAGCGTACTACGGCCGGTAGCGAGAGATCCACTCCGATGACTGCAGTGAGGGCCCGGCGCTGCGCCGCCCATGCGGGGCAGACCGCCAGCGTGTGCTGGGCCGAGTCCTCACTGCAGTCGCAGTGGTGGCAGGCGGGACTCAGTTCCCTACTAGCGACCGTGTGCAGGTACTTTCCGAAGCAACCGTGCCCGGAAAGCACCTGCGTCAGTCGGAAGGAAAGGGTCCCGTGCTGCCGCCCTGCCCACTCGGCGATGACCGGCTGGAGAGCCTCCACGGCGGCGAAGCCAGCGCGTGGAGTCTCCAGCCGGAACGACCAACGAGCCATCGTGGCTCGGCGAGCGGCTTCGCGCCACTCGCGCACATCCTCGGGCGGAGGGCGAAATCCGCTCTCCGCCCGGGAGTCAGCCACTCGCCGATAAACTTCGGCGAGCACTTCCGCCTCCAAATCCCACGGGGGAGTTCCGGCCAACGCGCATGCCACCTCCGTCGACACGGTGCGGTAACCGCGTATGGCTCTGACCGCCATTACCCTCTGAGGGCGCCAGAGGCGTACCCTATTCTGGGCGGTCAGAGCCGCCGCCCACACCGGTGCACCGTACAGTGCCATTGACCGGACAACCCCCGTGTACAGCCGTCTTGTCGCGACGCTGGGTCCACCCATATTGGGCAAAAGTCGCCCTAGGGCAGACGCAGCGCCGACCAGCTTTGGAGCAAGCTGTCGGAAGTGCTCGTCGAAGAGCCACCTCCCGTCGAGGATCAGGCCCAGATATTTCATCTGGGCCCGAACCGGTACGAGGACCGAGTTGACCACGATTGAGGCGCCAGGGGGTGGACCACGACGGGGCCCATGGAATAACAGGGCCTCCGTCTTATCTAGGGCCACCCGTAAGCCCAGCGCCTCAATGCGCCCGACCACCAGGGAGACTCCCCCTGTGGCCAGGCGCGCCGCCTCTTGGAAGTTTGCCCCCCGGGCTGTCAAACAAACCCTACACCAACCCGTCTGGCCAGCGGTGAATTAATAAAGGCTGTTGATGTGATGATTACTGATGACTATCATTGCAGGACGTTAAAGAGTATTTCAGTCATTAAGCTATCAACACTACGTTAAATAGTTCACAAATAAACAAGGAATATTATTACGTATGGGTGTACCTTTAAGTGGAACGTTATGGCTACTTTTAGCGGAACAAATGAGTCTGGCAACACCGTCGACAGTCTGTGCTCGTCCTACCTCCGCCTCGCCTGTCTTCTCTTTCTTCTTGCCGAGCCGCATTACTGCAAAGGATATAACATGCATGCAGTTACGTCTATCTCTGTTGGCAGGGGCTACTAAACACACCTACATTTAGCCAATTATAATTTAGTCCCACTTATGTAATAAGGGACCTAATGCCTTTTGGGAATACAAGGTTTTTAGTAAACTAACTAAGCAAACAAATACACGGCTCTGCCAGGTATTTCTGTTGCGTAGAAACTTTCACACAATAGTTTTCCTTTCCATGAACCTCTTGCGACTGAACTCATTAATAAAAGTGGGTATTTAAAAATAAGAACATTTTACAAGTTCGTTCAAATTATTTGGTCCTTCGAGCCGTTTATTGCATGATAAAAACTGTATATTTGTATAAATAGTGGCATTTTGTTGTTCTTGCAACATCCATGGGAACAAAAGGGCGAAGCAATAAATGGAACTTTTCATTCATTTATTAACAAAAATAAATCATCACTGAAATAGTGAAATATGTTTCACGTACCTATGTATAACAATTCAGGAATTTTAGTTCTTAAGGAGTCATCATCGTCTTCCTCGTCTGCAGTGGTTAGTGTAAAGACAACAAACACACATACACAATAAGTAAGGGTACACACCACACAATTACAGTTATTATAGGCTCGGTTATAGCATCTAGCGTAAAGCAATCACTCCAGTTAAAGCCTTAAAACAACTTTTAGAATCGAACGTCCACGAAAATGGTTTTATGCAAGATGTAGCCATGCCGTAAAAGTTACTGGCTAAATACGATATCAGGAAAATTATTTTACATTTCATTTGATTATTTCAAAGAAAAACTTAATAAGCTTGTGCAATTATAATATTGTGTATTGAAGATTATTTTTTAAAGGAATTTTCTCGATAGATGGGGTAGAGTATAAGAGTGTTTAATTGAGAGATATGAGAAGAAAAACAGCATAGAAAAAGAACGGCAGCTATCTAATTCAAGAACTTAGAGACTTAAAGACAAATTTAAATCAAGAACTACAATTAACAAGGTTTTTTAAAACAAAAACTTATTGCAAGAAGCATGAAAATAATACGGAGATTCGAAAAAAACTGGGAAAGTTTTCGAATGTCGGCCATAGAATGGAAAACGAAGTCTTTGTTCTTAAAGAGTTGTGAAATCTAGAAATGCGAAATAGCCAGCGTGGCAAACCTACCTTATGGTCCATAAGACGGAAAATTTGTAAACGATTATAAAGCAAAAGTATTTTATATTACCGAGACTTGGTACATTAAAACCGTGCAGCCTTCAATGTATTTCATTGTATTTCTTGTTTGATTTTTTAGTCAAAACTTTTACCTGAGCTGGTATTTAGCCAGTAACAACAAAGCCAATATAGAAAGTCTTACTCTTTTGTTTCTTCTCCTTGGTGAGGTACGTGATGCAAAGATGTGAATTTTGTCTTGTCACATGTAGTGCGCGGAAAGAGGCCTTCACTGTTACTTTGCTGTCCGTACCCTCAGACTGGCGACTCGGTACCTGTGAAAATAAATCCAAATTATAGATCGATGGATATGGTGGATAATAATTTTACAAAAAGAAACATATTTTATGAGTAGTTAACGTCGAACCCAAAAAAAAAAAATTAGTTTGCATCTGAGTTTATTATCAAAAATTCGATTTCAACTAAAAAGTTACAATTGAATCTACTTTAAAAGTATAAATATGTTACGATAGTTTTTTTTTGTATGAGAAAGCGTATCAAAAATATTTTATAATAATCTTATTGTATAACACCATCCATCACTTACCAGCCAGTAGTCAAGCTGCAGCTCGAGCGGCTCGGTACGCGCGAGGAGCGGCAGGGGGTGTGTGAGGGGGAGGGGCGCAGGCTCGTGCGTATGAGGCGCAGGAGTGGCGGGGGGTGAGGCCCGCGCCGGCGGGGAGCCGCCCTCCTCTAGCTCCAGCGACGACACGCCACCCTCGCTGCAGCCCACGCGCACCTCCTAACACAAAAATTCCGATCGTTGACACTTATTCAATATAGACGCGTACGTACGCACAAAAGAATTGTTGCAGTTTTTTTAAATTACAAGTTAATTCATACAAGTTGATTCATAACGTGAATATTAACTTTTCATAAAAAATTACAAATATTATAAATAATTATTTTTCTCATAATATCTACTTTTGTGTAAAAACTATAAAAACTATACAAGCTATAAAAACTTTCAATAACCTTACTAATGAGAATCAATTACAGACACGTTCACGCAAAATCTAAAAAATTATATACGGCCTGAGCAATATTCTGTATCTGAATATTTAACTGGGTAAAACAAAATGGTCCTTTGAGCCGGACAGTTACACTTCTGTCACTTAAATTAAAAATTTTGCTCAGTGTGTTGGCACTCACCGCAATGAAGGGCACAAACGTTTGACTTGAGTCCTCATCGCCAGACTTATCTCTGTACGCGACCATTGCCTCGCCGATTGGCACATTGTTCACGGGCCCGATACTATTCAGATACCTGTAGAAAATACTTAATATTACATGATACAGCAGGGTTGATTAAACAAAAAAAAACACATATTTCTATCGCTAACAGTTTATGTCGTTTTTTTTTTGGAAACTAACTAAATTTAGTAGAATAGAATGAGAATTAGTATCAATCCGGCACCGTACCTGCCGATTCTAGAAGACATCTCCGCAACGTCAGTGACGGAGCCTTCAGCTGCGCGTTCACAGATGTTGGCCCACGAGTCGCTCGCGAACAGCGCTGCGTACGCGCCGTCCGTCGCTGACAGGTGGCGCGCGATCACACTCGGCCCTGCGCACATTACATGTGTTTCCATCATCAGCCATCATGGCATTACTATCTTTGTATTATGTACAACATTGTAAATCAGTCGACAAACCCTCTATGGGTATATAATAGTTTGCAGTGAAACAAAGGAATAACTTAAGGCAACGGTATTGGACTGTGGCAGTAATTCGGAGCGGTCGGGTTCGCGTACTTATATGGCCGTCCTGGGATTAAAGAGGCCCGGGTAAATGTCACGATATATTCCAATTGTTGCATATAAAGTTCACAAGTTCCATATAAATATGTTTAAATCAAACACGTCGTATCTTCTAAGAACACACTCGATTACTTTAAAAACAAATTGTGAGCACAAAAATTTACGATTTAAAATATTACAAGATCTATTACTTAAATTATTACGAGATTCAATTGTAATATATAGAGCGTCGATGTCTTAACAACAGATATTAAGTTATCTAGCTCAGACGCAGATGTTCACCGAACGTTCCCTCGATAAACTGTATTCTCTAAATAAAGATATTTTCGGTTGCAATAAATGATATTGTGATTATAGAGAAATGCGACGATGTTGTGTGACGTACCGACGGGTATGACGTAGAAGCGCACGAGCGGCGCGTCGTGCGGGCGGCGCGCGCCCAGCTCGGCGTGCGCGCGCAGCGCCGCGCCCGCCGCCGCGTCGCCGCCGCAGATCGCCACGCGGATGCAGCCGCGCCTGCCGCTCCTGGGGACGCACCGCTTTAGCTTTACACTTCTTAATTGTATTTTCAAATATAATGTATGACTATTAAGTTTCAAACCGCTGAACCGATTTACCGAAGGTATTTCAGTAACGCTGTTATTGCACACGCATCTCGTAGGCTTTTCTTTATCTAATATATAAAATCGACCGATTTTCGTGCAGTTTTGTGTGCATATCGGGTAGGTCTGAGAATCGGCCGACATCTATTTATCATACACCATTTCTTTTTTAATGACAACTTTTTTTTTAAATAATGTATATGGCAAAACAACGTTTACGAGGTCAGCTAATTTGATTATAAATCTGTGTTCCTTAAAAATCATGTCAATTATATTGCGATTCTGCGATTTTTTTTTATGTATGTGCAGTGTCTTAGGCACTCACTGTTTAGGCACTCTGGAATAAAGCGCGTGGAGCAAGGGCCGCGGGTCGGGAGCTTGCGCGGGCGAGAGAAGCGCGGGCACGCCGAGCGCCGCCAGCGCCGCCAAGCACGCGCCTGCCCCACTTCCGCACACGGCTACGCACTCCAGCGACGAGTCCTCGCCAACCAGACGAGATACCTGCTCTGCCCACGTACGTCGGGGCTGCAACGTACACAATATAATATAGATCAAGTCTATTGACTCACACTAATGACCGTAAATTTATTTTAGCAAATAAACCTGTTAAACACTTCTACAAATTAATTAATTCGTGTAAACTTTACGCTGGCATTTCATATAACTAGTGCAGGGCAGATAACTAGAGCAGAAGTTTTTAATAAAAAATAAAAAATAAAATTAATGCAACAATAACGATCTAATAACGTGTTCTATTTCCTCTATTTTCTTGGCATTATCATTGAAACAGCGTTTACAGTCCTTTTAAGACTGTGGGTACTTAATTACAGTGACAAGGGACTGCTAAGGAAGGACATACAATACACGTTTAAATTTGATATTTTTCTAATTTTTAGGATATGAAAGTCCAGAGCACTAGCCAGTGTATTTTGATACTGTGGAGGAACAGGCGTCATGTAAGTCGTACCAGGCAAGGTGGCCACGCCTGGCGGACCGCGGCAAAACGGTTGATGTTGGGAAGTTGTATATATTACGCCAATCGGTGTGGGAACTTTCATATGGTGATACAGGATAAGTAGTTACTCCGTAGTTCGGTGTGTCTTCGTTAGATGGCACTGTGGTATGTTTTTGGTTTACTGTGTGTGGAAGTCGTTACAATACCTCTAGCGTGGTGGGGCTCTGCGCCGGCAGCTCGTGGGCTGAGAGCGGCCGGTCAGCGCCGATGACCAGAGAGTTTTTCTTGCGGCCGGCCACTCCCGGCGTCAGGTTACCGCCACTCGTTGCGCTTCGGAATAACCGAGAACGCTTATCCTCCTGTAACATAAACGTAAACAAATAAAAATATATATTTCCTTTTAAATAGGCATCTGCGGCGATTACAGTGACTATAATTAATTGGTGTTATTTAACTATGTGTAGTACTTTGTATGTGTTCTATTTTTTATGTACTACATTGTATCTAACACATTATTTTAATATTATGAATTACAATTGCACCTAATAAAGATTTTTTTACTCACATCACGCGGAATTTGGCATTTTTATAATTACTTTCCTACACTACGTTTGATAATTACTTACTGATGATGATAATTACTTTCAGGGATATTTCTTTATGGCACATAAAGCCACAGACCATACACCGTTGAAATACTCAATTCTTCCCACACCGATTGAAGGTAGTAGATTCCATTACTACCTGGGACATATGTTTATCCGACAAATGATTCAGGTCAGTTTAGAATCAAATGATGCGTAATCGGGTCTCTCAAATTATGTTATTTCTTTCTTAAAACTCTTTGAACCATCAAAAACAAAAGCACACAATGTACCTTAGTCTCATTAGGTGGTGAGCTGGACACGGAGGCGCCAGAGACAGGCGCGTCGGCCGTGACGTCACCGTCGCTGTTACCGTCACTGGCGCGTTCATCACCCGCCGAACTTCGGATGGCTTCTGATTCTAGTATCATACCATATTTTGAGTTATTTTTTCTTGTCTAATTCATATGCAATACATCAACACATTTAGTAGACTTAGATATCTTAAGAAATATTGATCACATTTCACTTTGTTACCTACTTTCCTAGGAATAAGGTTCAATTTAGAATAGAGTTGATATTCTATTGTGCCATAAATCTATTTATTCTAAATACTATCGCTCTGTTGAGAAAATCAACTAAGAATAATATATCTATATTGTATGAATAAATAACTTTAAAGTTTTAGTAGAGTTAGGTTAAAAATAACATTAATATGTGAATAGTGCAGTGACAGTGGTACATAATCACATAAGTTGATGTTGTTGAGACAAAAAATATCCTTACATCCCTAAAGATGTAGTCCCATGTGTCAAATACTCCATCTGGCCTAGTATACTATTGTATTACAGACAGAATGGCACGAGGTAAAAGTGAATCGATAGCAAATTGAACCGTATTGTATTGTTAAAAGGATAATATTGCACATAAAACATTTTTGGACATATTTAACTGTTCTAATTGAACAGTAGATAAATTATTAGGTGAAATGCGATCTTCATATACAAATACTCAGTCCGTTCATTTAGTTTCATTTTGACATTTCAACAAGCCACAAAACTAGTGAAAACATAAATGTCGTCGATTCAATTTAAAATGAAAATCGATTTTATTTAATAGAAAGTTTTAATCGATTTGAAATATATTTTCATTTATATTGCACAGGAATCAACTGACGAACCTAGTTCATTTCTAAAGTAATACTTAAATTTCAATAAATATATTTTTCTTATTAGCTTCAATAATCAAATATAATTAAATATACTGCATATTTAATGCAGTAAAAACATTTTTGACGTCACTACATACAGTGTTACGTGCGATACGTAATTATTTTTATATGTCGCAAATCGTACTGTACAATATCAAATGAAAAAAAAATTTGAAACTGCCATAGTTACCTTCTCAAGCACTGTAAAAAGAAAAAAAAACGAACGGACAGAGTAGACACGTATTTCTGGAAATTTTACAGAGTAATGTAACAATAAAGAGAACGTACGAGGTACATCACAAAACATGCAACCGTGCTAGTTGTTCTAGACGAAAGTGAAAGGTGTAACTGTGATGATAACATAAAGTAATAGACAGAAGCTTGCTATAGACAAACTAAATAAGGCTAGAGTCGACAGAGATTGTGAAAGATAGGTTTAATGATGAGATATTATAGGGATGTGAACCTAGCAAAGTCAAAAGTGTGACAATAATACTGCCTCTGGAATAGGTGAGGCATTAAAAATAAGATATAAAAATATTAATGTTCGATAGCGGTAATACTCTATTTAAAATAAGAGTGAGATTAACTTTTATTTGTTAGACAAAGATTCGAAAACTCGATGGACCATTAAAGACGTTTTCTATGGTCCATCGAGCTAACTGGACACTTCGTCGTAGCAGTAGGCTTCCCATGTGGTTTGTATTTCGGCTTTATTCCTACACACGGCATCACTGTTAGCCCCGGTAAGGCATCACTGGCAAATATTTACATAAATATGTATTTCAAATCAGTTACTTAAAACATCCTTGGGCAATTTAGTTTTATATATAAGATTTCGAAACGTTGTATTTCATAGCATTTTTACGTTTAAACACAAAATAGAAAATAAATTTGACGACACCAAAGTGTGACGTCATTAAACACTATTTCATACATATTTTTAAGAAACTCATTTTACTTGTCAGCCAACTACCGTAATTTAGTTAATAATATATATATCCTTCACAAATTATTCGGTCACAATAATCCTTTGCTAAGTTTGAATGAGGTCGTATGTTAGAGTAGGTATTTTTATTTGTGTTTTTTATGTTCACAACAAAATGATAAAAGACGAAAAGACAGAAAGATCTTGTAAGAGTGTAGTAGTAAGCATTCACAATCTCGACCAACTACATTTAGTTTTATATACAGAACAGATAATGTCGATAGATATTCAACTGTTTTCTCATAACTTAATAAAGGAATTGATTCTCTAATACTTTATAGACAAGGATTATTTTAGACATACAATTGCTAATACATAGTTCTCAATAACTATAACTGTTCTTCTATTTAAGGATAATGTTTCTGATATAACTTTTAAAATGTATCTTTCCATGATTATATAACTTTTATACTGAAAAAAAAGCGAATCATACATATCTTTGAATTGACTGACTTTTTATGATACAGGGGGCAAATAAGTACAATAGTAAACTGATCACAAGTGAGTTGCCGTCTTTTGGGTGCTCCAACCTCCCCCTAGAATTAAGAGGAACGGGGGTGCGGCGATTTCTTGGCTGTTCTAAATTATTATGAAAAGTTGAATATCTAACGACTTGTTTAAGATCTGTATGATAATACCTGTGAGAGGGAGCGTGTTGATGTGGCGTTCTCTGAAGTCGCTGAGCTCGGCGGCGGACGTAAGGCTCCCGTGCCCCCTCACTGCGCATGCGCGAACCTCATGTCGCAATGTGTGCGAAACGTGGTATACATCACGTGTATGTGTTGGTAGATTTATAGTGATCTTTTAGTGAGTTTAATATTTTTAGTAGATTTAGTTTAGTGATGTCAGTATGAGGCCTAAAATTATATTACCGACAATATTTTTATGTTCTTTTAAACATCACAAATTACAAGTGCCTAAGAAAACACAGTAATTAAATCATATAATCATCCTGGTATACAAAATCCTATACATTAGACTTTTAAAGGACTACTTTTGATAATATGAAAGAAATGTAATAATCCTTAATTTCTACCATTTCAGTAGTAGCAATTCAATTAAACATAATGTATTCCACGTGACACACAAACTAAACTAATGCACACAGCGTTACATAACATAACAGAAAAAATTCCAATGTATATGTCAATATGTTTATATCATAATATGTATAAGCAAAATAAAAGTTAAGCGTTCACATCACACAATGCTTTGTCTTTCTTAAACACTGTTCAATGCTCAGGCAATTAATACTGTTACGAGGTTCACACAAAAAATAGTCATCTGACGTCATAAGACCCCTCTTTTGTATATTTTGTACACTAACGCCATCTATTTGTTGTTATAGAAGTGACGTAATAACAAAATGGTTGATCAGGAACGAGACGTGACTGTTTTTTGCAATTTGATTAATATATATTATAGTATGTACTAAGACTCGTGTTGTGTTCAAGTTGTGTAGCTCCTGGTTTAGCTTCAAGGTAGTAAGGTAACGTCTACATAATAGATTTAAAAAGAAGTTATTTTTTTATTTCAGAATTAAATTCGAAGCAAGTAACTACAAAATAAAAGGACATCGTTTTAAAAAATATATATATTTCATAATAAATCATTTTACATTTAAATTTATCAACAGTGAAAAAAAAAACATTAAAAAAAAACAATAAAACAGAAAAACGCCAGGAGATACACAACTGATTTTGTAAATCTTGCAATGTGTCACACAATTTTAATTTGCATACCGTTGGAATGCCTATGATGGTCTTGGGTAGCAAGACTTCGAGAGCTGCTGAAGAACGGCCTCAATGAGGGTTTTGGTGTGGAACCAATGCTAATGGTGTCCATTTGGTCAGGACCCGAGTCCTCGCCTTCGCCGCATGATAATGATTCCAGTTCCTGGAATTGGATAATGATATAATGAATTTCCACATTTCCAGGCGCCGTTTAAGATTATGCCGCCGATTATGAGTACTTATACATATGGTTATAGTAAAATTACAAAGAATCAATTTGAATTTTTCAAAAAGTTGTTTTAATTTTAGAGAGATATCTAAAAGATGGGTTTTAAAGACGTTATGTTTATTATTTAGAATTTTATAACGCAAACCGGGTTTTTAATGAATTTTATACTTTCTAATAATTGATTACAAAAACTAAATAGTAATAAAAATCAATTACTAAAGGGTAGAAATATTATCCATTCAATTGTAACTTGCGTGACTGTTATATGTACTTCGTTGATTTAATCATCCAATTAGTTAATAACTTTAGCATGTAGAGAACATAAAATCTTTAAATATAAAATTGTCCCCTGGAAAGAGTAATTTTCTTTAAAAAAACTTCTGTATTACAATATGCCTAACCTGGAAGAGTTCATCGATATCGTGTTGTGCGTGGTGCTGATCCCTTGTCGTACCCCTTTCAGATAATTCTTCTGGTACTCGGAACCGCCGCAAAAGCGCCGCGAACTTCTGCTTCAGGTTGCGTTGCTGTAATACCATAAACATAACTTAGTAACGTCACACACTGTGTAAGCGTAGATTAAAGAGCCTAGAAAAGCTCCACCCTGAAGTTAGTAAGTTACATACTGTTGATGTCACCTTTCCTGCCGCCTGTTCCAAAAAAAAACACAGTTCTGATACCATGATGACCTTGATTGGCCATGGTTATCTAAGACAGTCACATACATGCGTATACGTACATCTAAGTGCATACATACTTATACATATGTGTATCATAACATATAATTATAAAAAATTATATAATAATAAAATGAGAACATTAATACATAATTTCTAACACTATTTCCAATTTTATTACACTAATTTTCAATATTTATACAACATATTAATAGTATTATTTATTCAATTTTTGGACCGATTCACATAAAAAATAAAATTCACAAAACTTTACATAAAAATAAACCCCGCATGCTTTGCCACAAATAAATAATATCACTATTATTTACATACATTTACATATATATATATAAAAACAAACGAACTCCTTAGAACATATAAATACATAAAACCTCACAAAAATTTCACTACCACGAAATCAACATTCCATTTTTAAATTGAATCCACAGACAAGATAAAAAAAAGAAGGATAAAAACATACAGGTTTAACCTCCATTGGCGGCTTCGCGTAAACTGAGCGACTATCAACGACACATTATATCTAATCTAATTGATAGCTACCACACAATGACATAATACATGAAAGCGATGATGTATTAGTATAATGAGTGTTTCGGTCTAAAGTTTACTTCGCAGGAGTTTTAAAAACAAACAGATAAGAAGAAAAGAGACTGATAAAGTAATGTAAATAATGAATATTTTGTTGAGTATTTAGGAGCAAATAATAAATATAAATTTCTTTAACCAAGTGAAATATCTGTTTTTATCTGACCACTTTAAGTGAACAACATTGAGGAATTCATCAGGGATTTGCTGATGTAGCCGCGACTCAACTGTTTATTAAGATATAAGATTTGAAGAACCTGAAAAGAAGCTGTGTGTCCGTGTGGTGACGGATTAAGAATACGGAGTGTCACCCCCCTATTCATCCCGTCGGTGTCGTATGAGCCGACTAAGGAAGCAAACTACGCAGGATAACAACACTGCAAAGAGAAGGAAAACTTGACACAAACCCAATACCATCCTGTCTGGCCAGCGTGGTATAGTAGGCCTAAACCTCTTTTCTAAGGAGAGGCCTATGTCCAGCAGTGGAAAGTTAAAGGCTGTTGATGATGAGCTCTTAGCCGAAATTTGTCGTTGGAGGCTTTTTGTCCTCACGTTTTATTTTTGAGCAGCTATACCGGCTATACAAACGGAGTCTATAATCAAGAGTTTTTACTTTACTATAAGGTAAATCTAGTCTAGCGTCACCTGATACAGTAAGACAGTACGAGTATATTAGTGCTAGTGCTTGGCCTTTCCACTCCCATTGAAAGATTGGAACTGTTAAAATTACATAACCTTACTAACAAATATAAATTTTAATGTAACAACGAATTATTATGTTTTTTTAAAGTAAATCATATTTTAAACAGGTAATATTGTACTAAAACAAAGTACATTGTGCAATCTAACACTATATACAGAAACACAAATTATATCCATGCGTAACTACTATTACGAGTATTTATTACTATTATGAGAATAGAAATTTAATGTTGAACTTTGTTAAATGTCGTTTTGTATAATGAATCGATTTAATAAATGCTAACTGAATGACATGTATAAGATAAAAACTTAGGGAAAATCAAACTGAAAATAATGAACATTTTTAATGAATTAAAAACAAGCAAATAAAACTGTAAGAAACCAAAACCTTGTAATACAATGGCTGGAGTACAGAGTTGAATGTGACCGTAGAAATATTTCTCTTCATAATACTTTGACAATTTGAACAATTTCTATTCTCATAAGATCTACGAAGAAGCGTGCTTGCGCAGGCGCTCACCGCGAGCTTCCCGCGGCTGCCCTTTCGCTTGGCGGCCGCGCTCTCAAGCTCACTGTCGCTGTCCCTGTCGTTCCCCTTACTGTGCATATAGCTCTGTCTCTTTCTCTCGCGCTCCATGAAGCTCAAGTCGCGAGAACGAGACAACTGCGTGCAATGCAACGCCCATTATGTACAAGCTTATAAAAGCCAAATATTCGACTACATATTAAATATAAGATAAAGCTTTGTACAAAGTTATTCACTTTAAAAATGTATCAGTATTTCTGTACATAGTAAAATATAATTATGAAGCTCCCATAAGCAAAGCGTCAATCATCAGAACATGCAATTTAATTGTTTTATTTTATGCAATAAAATTGTCCTTTGTCGTTAACATGTACCGATATATTTTCATAAGATTTAAATTAGGTAATCTAAATTTAAAAAAATAAATGAATTGAAGAATTTTTGAAGCATGTTAAAAATTGCTGAAATGCGTTACAGAGTTACATTTATTTTTGGATTCATTCATATTTATCACAAAAAAAGAGAATCTAAAAGACAATCCTATATTTTTTTTCATATTTTATTACCATATTTACAGTAATAATTATTTAATTGCAAGAAAATCCAAAATAGCCTATTAAAGAACCTATTAGATTCGTTAATTGACTTACCTTGGTGTAAGAGAGATCAGTTTTATTGAATGCCAGTTGACGGTGGGCACGACGTCGGGCAGGCGCTCCATATGTCATCTCGTCAGCTTCTTCTACTGAGCTGAATTCTCCTTCTTCTTCTTCATCTGAATAGCCTCGCTCTGCGAATAAGAAGAAATATAAGTTTTGTTACACATAGCAGTCTATTAAACTTATTCGACTTTTTAATCGCAGTAGTACGAGTATACTTGTGTGAAGCGTTCGATAGAGTTAATCACCAAACACTTACTTAGGAATTATTTTGAGTTATAGCAAATTTTCTTTAGAACAGAATACAATTACGTTTTATATTAGCTTACGGCTAAAAAAGATATATCTATATTAACTTTCCCATAACCCCAACACCATATCAAAGGAGTGCCACGGGGTTCAATTCTTTGACAACTTTGTATTGTTTAGAAGTATGATAGACTTACCAGTGATTAGAAGTGTGTTATTGTTCTTAGTGTCATGGTCTACAGGAGTAGACGCGAGTCCCGTGATGGTCAGCTTGGCGACAGGCTGGCCAGCAGCTGCACCAACCTTTCCACCAACACCGACCAGCTCGAGCTCCATATCCATTGAGCGTTGCAACACCTGGTTAATAATATAATAAATAACTGAGTTGTTTAAGTGTGAAAATAAATTTACATTAATAAAAATGGCGACACCACAAAATGTATTACTCAACGTTAGTTTCTAAAACGTACAGAAAATAGTAATCTCCTTTCTTGTGAGAACGTAATAGCACGTTTCACCGGCTTAAGTACGTCCAACAATTTACAACATTTCAACCCTCATTAAATTTTGTGTTTAACATTTTTCACTTTCAGTCTGGTATTCTCGAGTAATCCAAAAGGTACTACTATAACAAATATTAACCGCATCTAGTTTTACTAAAAAGTAGACGTAAAAATATCTGTAAAGCTCTAATTCAATCTCATTCTTATTCTAAATTCAACAGGCCTCTACATTATATTTATAAATAAAAAATCAGCGGTCGATAATATTTGTCTAGAGCTCTAGAGTAAATAGTGAAACTAGAGAAAAATCAAACCAGTTGTAGAATAATGAGGAATTTGCTTGCAATTGTATTCTATCCATCTCTCAAATCTACATAAAAATTGGTTCAGTAGTTTCAGAAATGTGCGCTTAGAAACAAAAAATGGCTGATTCGTATTTCAATAATCTTTTTTAATCTTACCCAATCTTTTTAATTACTTCTAAGATTCTAAATCGTATGCTGTTTTCTGAGCGGCCATAATGTAATTTTCTCTACGCAACCTAAAGTTGCAAACGCTTTTAGCTAACAGTAGCCTACTTAGTTAGGTACTATGTAAGCGTATTTCGTAAAAAATTGTTACTTTAGGACTAAAGGTTGATACAGACACCTGTGTTTATGATACTAAATGTGCTTAACTCACATTTAGTATTTAATAATCATTGAGACAAATTCTTAAACCTTGTGTAAAATGTAAATCAAACTGAATTGTGGTCATCATATAAATTCTATTAATTAGAATTTAGTATTGCATAGCTTTATTACATAATTGTATTATTTGGATATTCGAATATTTGATTTTTATGAACAGAGCAGTTATAATACAATAATTATCCACTATTAACGATTGGGCAAATGTAGGCTAACACGGCCGCTATCTAAATAATAATAATTAATATTTTAAACACAACGCCATCTAGTTTCAAACTAAGCATAGCTTGTACTATGAAAGACATATTGACTGATAAAATACTTGTGTACTTTTTTTTGTAAATACATACATATTATACATAGAAAACACTCCAACTCCGAAACAAACAAATAAACATGGCATATATTAATATTATAAAAAGATGAATCATTTATCAAACTACCAGGCGTCAATAAAGCGATGATAGTGATATAGTGGAAATATTATACGTCTAATTTTAGATTTATCTGTGTTCGGTCTCGTGGTACAGATGTCAAGTGACATCCGTTGAGCATCAGCACATCTATGTATGCAGTTTATGCGCGAGATAAAGACTATAAACAACTGTAATAATAACACATCTATGCAGAACAATTAATACACACATATATATACTACACGTGGCACGATGTGTATATAGGTACATCTTATATATAAAATTCTCGTGTCACAATGTTCGTTCCCGTACTCCTCCGAAACGGCTTGAACGATTCTCATGAAATTTTGTGTGCACATCGGGTAGGTCTGAGAATCGGCCAACATCTATTTTTCATACCCCTAAATGGTATGGGTGACCCATCCCTAGTTTTTTTTTGTATTGCAATACAACGTTTGCCGGGTCAGCAAGTTGTCTATAGACAACTTGCTGACCCGGCAAACGTTGTATTGCATAACAGTTTTTGCAGTGAACCCTATTTGTTTTTCGAAATTTGTATTGAGTCTTTGTTACTTTTTATAACATCATTAATCTGCCATTGAAAAATCTGCGGAAACAGAGGTCAAGCTTTTTCGAGATGATCCGGAGCAAACAGACAGAATCTGTATCTGAATGTAGTCACAAAGCCTACCAGAACCAAACAAAATGGATAGCTCTGTTGTTGAATTTCAAACATCACTTATTAACTTTAAATCTAGCTTTTGTGATTTGTCTTTTATTACTCCTTGTAAGTTATTTATGTAATCTCGAGAAATAAAGTGATATTTATACCGTAAATATCATAATTTTATCGATCACCAGTATTACTTGACCTGTCATTGTATCAGCCTTCCGTATAATGATTTATCAACCTACATAACATACTGAACCTCCGTAGAAATTTATCATATCGTTAATTTGGGCCGATCGATATATGCCGGGACATACCACGACATATTTAAATAAATAAAATTGTCATCGTATTGTACCTAATCTCACAATAACAGTGTTTTTAATAAATGTCTTTGGCATGTATTCCAAGGTTGTCCTGACGTGTAAAAACAGTTGGCGTCGGTTTTACGAACCTGGTCCATTCTGATGACGCCCTCAGCAAGTGTCTTGTAACCGAGTATGGTCCGATTTTTATATTTCTTTCGGCGTTGGAGCATTATTTGCAACCTGAAATAGAAAATTTATAAATTTTAATAACCACAAATACTCTTAGTCTGATAATATTTTCTTAATTTTTACTTAATTTAATTTTATATTTATATGGATTGTTCAAATGTGAGTTGGTTTTTATGGAAGAGGGGGCGGACGAGTCACCTGATTTAAAGTGACTACCGTCGCCCATGAACGCCTGCAACTCAGGAGTCACGAACGCGTTGCCCGCCTTTTAGGAAAGAGCACGCTCTTTTCTTCAAGGTGGTATCATCGGAAAGACCGCAGACGATAACTTGTTCCACAGATTAGTTGTGCGAGGCAAAAAAATAGCGAGATCGCCTAAAATCGTGTATAAACTATATACTTCAGAATAAGGACACTTAATGTAGTATATATAAATGAAAATACATAGTCAAGTCAAGTTCGAAGTGGCAGATACGCCGGTTAAGATCGCTTAGGTATTTCCATGAAGTAGCAATAACGCAGCCCCGAAAAAGGTCTTGTATAGAAACGCCGTGATGAAAGAGAGAAATTTGAGCGGCTGCAAGTGAATTTCCAATTTTCGCTATATGTTATTCAAAATGATAAGCAAGACAGCTATTGTTTCAGCTAATAAAATTTGTTTTTTCAAAACTAAATCTAGCTCAAACTAATGTTCAAAAACCGCCTACCAAGTATAATGCGTTTTCACAAACAGACACGACCGCGACTACATTTGTTGCGATACTGTAATAGCCAGTTATAGTCTAGTGTTAAGCTTAGTTGTGTGTTAAGTGTTCTATGTAATAACTGAAGTAGTATATTTTGTAAATATAGGGGAAGAGATAATTATCCTTGAAAAATATATAGGGATACTGGCCCAAATGTGCTAAAGGTTGGCTCTTCCACAAACCAGCTGTAAAAAACAGTTTAATTGGCTTTCTTATGCATCTTATACTTTTTGATCTATGAATGAGGTTAAATAAAGCTAGCTAGCTAAAGATATTTGCTTTATTATCAAACAGTGAAGTAACATATAACACTATGTAGAAACAGTCTTGAACTTTATAGATTTCAAATTCTGTAACAATGGCTGGCAGAACATTTGTCTCAAATATATTGGTTTATTAACAGTTTCAAATAATAGATATATTGTTACTGCAAAACATAAAACCACGACGTAAAACCATTTTAGTGGTAGTAAAAATTATCGCTGAACTATTCAAATGTTACTACCAATTATATGCACCTGAGAGGAACCAAATTTTTAGATTTACCAGATAACAGATTCGGTTTACAATTTTAATATTTCAAGAAACCTATGAACACTTTGTCTACATACATATTTTTTACACCGCTAAGATGTCCTTACTAATCCTTACTAATATTATGAGTTAAAAAGTGAGATTACTTGTAAAACTACTTATTTCGACGATTTAAGACAGGTCCAGGGTCCAGGGGAAAAGAACATGTGGCTGATTCCTGTAGTTGCAATTTACAAACTAGAAAACGTTGCTCGCCTAGACTTTGCCACTATTAAAGACATGGCTAGCTTAGAAAATGCACTACTCCTATAGTGTTTTTTACTAACCTAACACTAACCCAACTCAAATTCGAGAAAAAAATCGAGAAATGGTTAGATACCGCAGTGTATAAAATAGATTTTAGGTCGTTTATTGCATGCCTTAATAGCCATAACGATAAGACCCTACTACAAATTGAGCAATATGTCAACCTTGGTATTAATATATGGTGTCCCAAAACCTACATTTAACAGCTACCGAAAACAGTATTAGCGAAAACTAGATTAATGACGCTATAAAGAAAGTAATAAACCCTTTATAGTGTTGGTATATAGCCGTTACAGTTAAAATCTAAAGTATGTAGAAAGTAAACAGAACGATTGAGAAATATTGGCAAACTGATTGATGGATCTGTGGATGGATGACGCTACCGAAGCAGCGTCATCCATCTCAACTCACGTGTTTATTCTATGGTAAAGGGGGGATAAACGAATAGGGCCCCAAATCCGCTATTTTAATATTGTATAAATAGACTGTTGATGGACTGTCGTCGGAATAATTTGGCACTTTTCGTATTCTACTAACTAATTAAAAGACCATTGGCCTCCCGATGACGTGTCACTGATACAAAATTGGTAAACGGTAGACTACTAAATATTTGACAGTTATTTCAATGTCGTCACGATGGCTTCAGGGTGAATTATATTGTTGTTAAACTATTAAGATGGTTACCTGACGGTAACTGTAATTTAAAGGTCACAAGTGCATTGTAGCCCTTTGAGTTCCCCGCTCCGGAATTCAGGGGAAAAAAGCGTTTGAGCTCCAGTAAACTGACTCACTCGGTGAAGAGCGACGAAAGAATTGTTCAACGCTAGTTTAATGTGACGCCGTTGTATCGGCCGTGACAGTGTGGTCCAACTACTTCATCCGACTAATCGGACGACGCGGACTTTTTTTCCTTCCGTTCGAGCTGGCTTATTTGTGCCGAAGTATGGCTCTCCTGCGGTTATACTATAGGTTATATAATCCCACGGTGTTATTATAGAATAAAGATAGAGATCTAATCTCAAACACAGAGCATTAGCTATATCTAGTCGTAGACAGTAGAAAGAAGAGAAGTCAGTAGAGATTTTAAAGCTAAGGTTTTATACACTACTAGAATACATATCACGCTACGTGGTACAATAAAAAAAGGTTGCATATGTCATGGGGAAATTGAGTAAAGAAAAAAACTAAAATAACGAATAAAATTGATCCTGATTAAATACAAGCATTAACGAAGCATATTAAACGCTTATTACGTGTTGTTCTAAAGGTTCTAGGAAATAGTTTAGAGTTTTTGAGTTTAATGCTATTATGTAGTTATTTAATAAGGTTTTTTTTCCAATTTGAAATGAGTAAATTAATTAATTTCATTTTTTTTTCTAGAAAACTATGTGGAATTTTCAAACAGGAGTTTTACTATAACGTTTGTAAAAATTAACGTTTGATTTAAAAAACGCTCATGTCTGATTTGTCTCTTGACATACTGTACTTTTTAAATCCATAAAAATCTTAATAAAGGTACGTCAGACTAAACTTTTCAAAATAGGTAGGTAGTAGAATAGTATTTTATCTTGGTCAGGATGGTCAGACCGGCTGTTGACGCCCCGACGCGTTGCCACGACATGCGTTCCCATGGTATGTAATGGTGAGTATTTTGTGACATGTAATGCGGCTCCACCCCGCATCGCGCTGTTTCTTTAAGCAAATCTGAATATTATATTTTTAATTGCAATTTAATTGCGTTATATAATATTTATATATTTATTATTTCCTGTCATAAGCTATCCCTTTATACTCATTATTTCTGCAAAGTAATATCGACGTTTTACACCTGCCAGACGTTCCACGACAGCTCAAATTTTTTAAATGCAGAAAGGTGAGATACGAACCTATTTCCATCCCTCTTGACGAAGTGTGGGTATTGCAGAGAGAAGCAGAGATCAAGTTCAACATCGAGGGGCGGTACTGCGATGTCGTTGGAGCGGAGCGTGCGCTTCGAGCTGTGCATGCGCGCCGCGAGTATTACGGCACCTGCGCCTGTGCCACCTGTAGCACCTCCACCCGAGTCTCCGAGGGCACCACATACCCGTAGACGAGTTATTCGCAGTGTGCATAACCTGTAAAGAGAAAATGTCTCAGCTCAATAAACCTCTTTACTTACTCAATTTGGAAGCAAAGTTTAAATAAATAATCCTATTTCTGGCAAAAACGAGTAAAAAGCTGATAGGTTTTCGGCAAAAAAAGTGGAATGCAGATCATTTCAATAAATGTGTACGTAAAATATGTTATATACTTATTAAGGATGTAAAAACAAATATGCTAGAATCTAGATTATTATAAACTATCGTAAATAAAAAAATAACTCTCAGAGTAGTTAAAAACTTTAAATTTGAATTTAATGAGTGTCACCTAATCGTAGATAACTCCAACGGTATAATCAATGTTTACATACAACAAATACAATATAGTTACTATCATTGCATACACTGCGGAGTTGCGGAACAGCTTTTCAACTTCTTTTAACGTACTATCGACACAAAGGAGCTAGGTAAAATATAGACTACGATTCTATTTCAATATTTGTTTCGAGAGATGAAAATTTCAAAAACTTGAAGGACTCGTTAATGTTGAACTTGAGCCAACCAAAAAGTATAAATATACAACTCTATACTACAACTTCATTACATACTCGTAGTATAAAATAAAGTCGCTTTTTTGTGTTGTAGGCTTACATTTTCGAACTAAGCAACGGAAACGCAAAAGTCCGCGATGGTATATGTCTATCTCCTAAGGATAACCCACAGTAACCATTTTTATCTTTTAAATATTACAAAAAAAATGGGGTATTTACGAAGCTATTTTTAAAATACATTATTATGCCTTATTAAATTAAATAAGTTACATACGTTGTGCATTTAATGTACATTTAAATTTATCTTTACAGCATATCATTAAAATGAATCTTTTAGAAGATATTAGAGGTTTAAAATGCGGGGGCAGGATCGGAGCGGGCCTATAAATTTTGCATTTAAACGACATGTACACAAATAAAGTTGAAGTTAATTAAATAAAAAAAAGATGTCCTGTAGTATCATTATCATCTCAGCCGAAAGACGTCCACTGCTGGACATAATCCTATCATAATAATAGTATAATTAATTACTCCACACTGACACCACATTATTAGTATTAGTATCTACGTGCGAAGCCGTGGCGGTTCGCTAGTAGAACAATAACGCATAGAAGGTTAGTTTCATATCAAAAAAGCGTCGAATTTGAGGTAAAAACACAATTGACGTAGGCGAAGTCCCGCGTACGCACACTACCGTACAAGTAATGTTGCTATCAGAATCAGATTTTCACCAAAAGTAGGGAAATTAGGACTGCTACTTCCGTAAGTCCTTAGAGGTTTCTGCACTTACAAAAAGGGATTTCTTTTTAAATTTTATGGATAAAATCTAAACTAAGTAATATATATACTTACACAACGAAACAGTAAAAAAGTTAAATAGTAAAGATCGTTTTAAAGTTATTATAGTGTTCCGACATAGATTATATCTGCCATAAATGTACACTGTCTGCCGTGTCCTGTAGTGAGGAACACGTATGAGTACTTTTTTGTGACACGCGATTTCTAAACCGAAAAACGGCACGTTAAAGAACAATGGCAGAAACATATTTACCTAAAACTGAAGCGTTTAAAAAATTGACTAACAGTAAACTTACTAAATATTTTTTCTATGATTTATCATTATACCGCCATGTGTTGTATAAGTCTCATAAGAGATTGGATATTTTAAAGATTTTATTTGACCTAAGTACGTAATGTCAGAATCGCCATCACGAACTGACTAGAGATGCGTAATGACATTATTATATTATGGAACGTTTTATCGATAAGCGATTGTTATAACTTTGGCTTAAATATCTATCGAAGGTTCACCTATTATGATTATGAATTTGCTTCTGCCTACGGGTTTACTCATACGCTACCGTAACTAGTACTGTAGTGACTAAATCAACCTAATTAGAAATAATTTAGAATATTTTTGACTCTTTTTAAAAGATTATTGCTACACCAAAATAAATAGAATATAGTTACGTTATTTTCCTACAGAAAAATACTAAAACAATATACTGCTTAGTGTGATGAGAAAAAGACATTGTAGGTTGATAACGGCATATTTGTCCAGGCTGTCCTCTTATGGAATGCGCTTCCTCACGAAGTCAGGATGGCTACAAATCGGTACTCTTTTAAGACGAAAGTGAAAGAGCTATTGCTGAGCGGAATGGCAGATTCAACGAGCTCCTAGTTCATCGGCTAAATTTTTTATTTCTTTTATTTTTCTCATATATATATGTGTATGTGTATGTATATATATATATGTATATATTTATGAGTATGTATAGGTATATATATGTGTATGTGTGTGGTATTACGACGTATACACCAAATTCCAAGATAGTTGGTATTTAACAAAACCACTATCGTTTATACCCTACCATAAATGCACCTACCTCATTCTTTCTCAGCACCGCCCAATCGGTCGACTGGCAGAGAATGCCTTAGGCATTAAGGCTGAAATTTATAAAGCGTACTTAGACTTTGCTCAGACTTACCTCACGAGTTAAGTGTGCGTTGAAATTTATAGTCATAATGCTTAGCTCAAGCTGAGCAAATGCTTAGCATAGTCTAAGTCACCAAAATCCATGACTTAGCGATTACTTACGTGCTCATTAGTAGTTGGAGATGCTCTGAAAAGCCTTAAAATTAAATTATTTTAATATTAGCACGAAAGACAATGGAATTCTATTGTAAACAACAATCTATCAATGGTAATCTATGGATTTTTTGTTTTGTCATTGTATGTGGTCTCATAAACTCTCATTGTCTGTTGAATCTTTGTTTTCGCTTCGTGGTGTTTTCTGCGCTTGAACTCTTTTATACTTTTGGACCTTTTGCATTAACTCGGATTTTGTACCTGCTCTCACGACGACCCTTGTATTCCCTCGGACTAGTACCTGCTTTCACGACGACCCTTTTTTGCTCATCTACGGACACCGATTACTATTGTCATGAACACCGACGATAAGAAAAAAAAACAGAAGCCCTACAGTGAATTCGAAAAACAACTGCTTATGCAGTTGGTGACGACGAAAATGGACATAGTGGAGAATCGCAAGACCGATGGTACATCCCAAAAAAAGAAGACAGAAGCCTGGGAGGATATTGCATGCCACTACAATAACTCGCCTAACGTATCCCAGCGAGTAAGTTAAAATTCTAGAGAATAAAGTAGTAAATAACATATCCACCTACTTGGGATTTTAATAACCTCATTCTCTCTTTACATTATCTGTTTTATTTTTAGGCGAATGCTGCTCAACTTAAAAAAATGTGGCAAAATCTAAAAACGAAGGCCAGAGATGCTAAAACTTTAGAAGCCCAAAAAAAATGGACTGGTGGTGGACCTGCACCTCCGCCTATAGGATCCGAAGAGACCCAGGTCCTTTCTATATTACCAACTGTAATGCCAACAATTGAAGTTGAGATAGATAGTGATATAATCCAATCAAGCACCTCGAAATTTAGTAAGTACTCACTAATAATTTATATTTATTAGTTGTTCATTTTGTTACTATAAATTAAATGTCCAGGCATTGTAACATTCTAGATATTCCCGTTGGTGTGGGTATTTCTTGTTCATGTGGGGTGAAACATAGCCTATGTGATGTTCCAGACTATAATCTAGCTGTGCCAAATTTCAGTAAGATTTGTCTAGCCATGCATCAGTTATAAATATGTAGTACTAACAACTTTGTTTTAATTACATATACATACACATACAGCATCTAGTTATTTGTAAGTAATGATATCTTATTTGGTTTCAGGTGAAACAAATGATGATGACGGTGTTTACTGGCAAAACAAAAAAAATAGAATGATGGACATGGAAGTTCATGTCTTCGGAGAAGAGGTACAAGATCTTAATACTCTACCGGGTTGTTCTCTCCAGGGGCTTACAATGCCCACAACCCCGGAACTAGCACCAGCTCCAGCAAAGAAAAAAAAACCGGAACAATCTCTGGAGGATTTAAAAAAGGAACTTGTGAAAAAAGAAATTGAAAAAGTTACTAAACAGATAGAGCAAGATCAGGAAAAACATGCAGTAGAACTGGAAATATTAAAATTAAAAAGAGATTTGTTGAAGAAAGAATTAAATAAAAACTAAGAACTTAATATTATGATTTTTATTTCTTTATCAATTATAAGTTTCTACGATGGATTGTCGAAAAGCTAATCCTGCAGCTGATGACATTCTTGAATTTAACTGCACTTCATCAATTTGCTGTGCATCTTCTTCTACAATGGAGTAATTGTCTCTGCTTCTTATTGCAATATTGTGAAGCACTGCACAAGCAACAATTATATTGCACACATTTGTTAATTTGTTTCTGAGGCCCAATTGCAGACATGAGAACCTTTTCTTCCAGACACCAAAAAATCTTTCTATTATGTTCCTTGTCCTTATTTGTACATAATTGTAATTATTTTCCGCACGTGTTGTTGGTTGTATCAAGGGTGTTAAAATAAATGGCATGGATGGGTATCCACTATCACCCACCAAGACTCCCTGCAATTGTCCACTAGCCAAACGTGCATGAACACGGCTATTTCTAAATATCCGACTATCATGAGCGCTTCCAGGCCATCGTGCAACAAGGTCATAAATTTCCATATCAGGACCTACAACGGCTTGGACATTAACGGAAAAATAAGATTTTCTATTTCTGTATGCTTCAGAGTGAGCTATACCTCTTGGTCTATTTATTTTAATGTGGGTGCAATCTATTGCTCCAATTATATTATTAAGTCCATGTAGTTGGTTGGTTCTACCCAACTCTTCAAATTTTTGTTTGACATTTTGTAGCTGGTTTGGGAATTTAATAAATTGTGGTAAAAGTTGACTTAATGCTCTGGAAACTTTATTTATGATGATGCACACTGTAGATTGGCTCAAGCCTAATAAATCTCCACAAACAGTCTGAAACAGAAAAGTTATTTAAAAATACTACTGGGACAGACAATAGACCAAGAAATAAATTTCATATAGCTAGGACTTATTGCTCCTATACTGATTTGATGCAAAACTGTGGGGAAAAATAGTAAACATTCTAAAAGAATCTAAAAAGAAAGCTGATTTATTTTTATCTATATATTAATGAATATATAGAAATGAATATTACAAAGAGGAAAGATTTGATTGTTTGTTTGCTTTGAATAGGCTCCGGAACTACTGAACTGATTAGAATATTTTTTCACCATTAGAAAGCTAAATCATCCCCGAGTAAAATAGGTTATATATCTGTGGTTGTTGTTGTACCGTGGGTAACACCACGGGGCTCTAACCTACTAAAGACACAAGAAAAAAGTTAACGGTCATGCCAGGTGGTATGACATGATCTGATTGAGGTAAAGATCTATGGAGTAAGTGTACAGTCTTACGAATCTAGTATAAAATGAGACAACTATAAAATCGTACCTGATAAGTTCCAGTAGCATAGAACCTTAATGCAATGAGTATTTGTATTTCTGGTGTTATTGGCAATCCTCTATTATCATAGTGGTTCAGTTTGTCAGCAATTAGTGGCAAAATAACATTTTTCACCGTATTTTTTGTAAATCGATATCTTTTTTTAAATTGATCGTCGCACAAATTATATGGATCTTGATTATATTCATGGCGAATATAAGCTTTAGGCATACGAACATTATCCAGTGCCGATGTGCCGATTCTATCTATTCTAGACAGAACATTTTCAATTCTATCGATGTTCTCCATCGTTAACCAAAACCAAATCCGCAAGAAAAGTATATAAAGTCCGTGAAATATGCCAGAGTCAATGTGAAAAGATGGTTCGATTGTCCAGGAAGAAAAGCCGTAATTTAGTTCGAAAGCGTTGTTACAGAAGTCCGTAAGGGTGTGCCAGGGTCAAGATAAAAAGTTAATACAAGAAATTGATATATTTGCGAATGAACTCGAGACGAGACAACCTCAAATATTGTTATGACATTTGACAAGTCAAATATATGTACGTTTTGTTTTACTTGTACATGTGTTATTTTTGCCTTTTATCACTTAAAAGCAATGAAAACTAAAGGTGTTAATTGATTGAAATACAATAATATGATAAAATTTATTAGATTACTAATATTTTAGGTTATTACAGCTATTTTAAAAATAATATATTTTTGAAATACCAAGAATTTAAATTAATATGCTATGCAAATCGAAACGTTTAAAAAATTTTCCTGAGCTCTTGCTTAGCATACACTCAGTAAATTCTTAGCCCAAGAGGACTATAAATTCGAATGCTAAGATTATACTGAGCAGGAACTTAAGTAAGTTTAGCGTAAGCAAAGTCTGAGCAAAGTCTAAGTACGCTTTATAAATTTCAGCCTAAGTCCGCCGATGCCGGGGGCGAGGTAGCGCGTCATTCTAGCACACGGCTACACACCGCTACACCACCCGCTACCCGCTGACATCGTGAGTACCTCGTCCCCGCCACCATCTTTCACCCCGCAGGACGGTCGCGCACGACGTTGACGGACTATAGTCTTGTCGTTTGACACTTACACGCATGACTTACATACCATTTCTCACAAGGCAATTGTAGTTTATTTGGTTGTTTTACTTTTGTTTAGTATTAAACTCTCATATATGTTTATTTTAATTTTATATAGTGTTACTCCATTATGCATGATGTGATGCCTTAAAATGTTGTGCATTAATCTCAATATAATGGATGCATGCTTTAGATTTTAGTAAATAATGTCATAACTACTGACTGTTGAATAACTAAATAATAAAATAAATTGTGTAAATGTGTATTGAAGTACATTTATTCAAATGATTATTAATAATTTATGTATTTATGGCTAGTATTACACCTGCTATGTAAGCGAAGATTTTTTTCTATTGTTTACCAATACATGCCAAGCAAATACCCTTCCTTCCTTCACCCATTTAGAGAGTCGGCTAACACTTTCTACAGCAAAATAGGGTTGCTTATAAGTAATAATAATGATGAATAATATTTTAGAATATATGACACACAACGCCATCTAGTTTCAAACAAAACATTTACAATATTTTAGTACTTAACCTCGAAACATTCAAAAGCCAATATCTTTTTTCCTAGACTTCTTTCGCTAGTAATTTTTTATGAGAATGTTCAAGAATAAATTCTCAAGGGTTATAGGCATTTTTGATATTTAAACGTTGTCATTTCACTTCAAATAAAATTATGTATGGGGACCTGCCATTGTCCTTTCTTCCCGTCAATTGCACAAACTGTCATTTTGTATTAAAATTACGCCAGCCGTTCGTCCGCTATGCCAAAATGGCATATTTTTACTTGCTTCATTTTTCGTGCGTGTTCGCGGTTTCTACTCGTATGCGTTATTATTCTACGTACTCCAATATTTCCTATCTACATCTATAGTAATATTATAAATACTCTAATTTTCCGTGTGTTTATTACTTTAGACCATGACTAAGAGCGGTTTCGCACTACGTCCAATCAGATCCGAATCCGTCAAGGTCTGCTCCCATGAATATGGGTACGTGTGTTGTTATCGCGAATACGTGAAAAAAAAAACATATATGACATCAATAATTTCGAACACATTTTGTCAAATTATAGTTAGCCTAATGTGGGTATTTAACACGTCTT